ATGGCTTTGTACGTAACAGAGCAAGATAGGAGGAAAATGAAATTTAATGAAGGTAATCAGACGTTTGTTGTTAATGAACACGTGCATACAGTTGTGTAATTGAAATAGAAACATATGCCATAAAAAGCTAAACAATCATTCTTTTCCCCCACTCCCCTCTCCTCCCCCCCCTAGCTCTTTTCTTAAGGAATCTTTTTCTTTTTTTTCTCTGAAGCCTTATTAGGATTACATATTTATAAGACATCCAAGAAAACTGTGATGCTTTGATTAATGTTTCCAGAACCAGAAAGGAAATAATACAGCTAGCCCACAAAAAAAAAAAAAGGGGGGGGGATTAAATTTTTTTACTGGTATAATATCTCTGTAACGTTTGATTTGTATATACACTAAAGGCAGGTGTAGAACATCACCCTGAAGGTATCTCTTGCTGTCAGTGGATCACGAATGTCAGCCTTGACAGGTATCCTCTGGTGATGTTACAAAGCATATGTGGCTTATTTTAAGCAAAGCTGTCCATACTTTTGTCTTGTTGGAATATTGCTACTTTCTCCCTAGCATCTGTCACTTTTTTGTCATCCTTAAGCTGAGAGATATCTTGTAAAATCTTGTTAGCTTGTTTTAATTGTTTTTCTTCTTGCTAACTTCTAAAAGCCATTACATCTGCATTGAAAGACACATGATATTTTTACTGATACTGTAGAAGAAATCACATTTTTTGTGATAACGTTCATAAATCCTAGTTATTGCAAACTTTGCGCTTTGGAGGCTGTGTATTTTCTATACTTTTAAGTCCCAAATCCTGCAAAGACTGCCCGTGACTTGTTCTGTGACTTTCTATGGAACTATTTAATTGCCAAGCTTAAGCACATGCTTCAGTTCCTGTAGGGTCCAAGTCCAGCTCTCTTTTCAAAAGCTTGCTGGTAGGGATGCTTGCCAGCACTCAGGGATCCCTGTGAGGGAAAGAAGGAGCTGGTATTTTTGCTTGCTTCTGTCTGGCAGCTTCCTGTCTCCCGCACAAAACGAGCAACTAACATGCTATTGATGATGTGTCAAGGGGAAAAAAAATCAAGTTAATAAATAGAATCTGAAGAGTCCACTAAATGGATTCTATTGATGTTTTGCCATTCAACAAGTAAATAAAGCCGGTAAAACTTGTGCTGTCATTTAATCATACGTGCGTTCACTTGACCATGGAGTGTCTTGTCTAAGTAGTTACGCTATGTCTTGCCAAAATCTTCCATACAGGAAAATTAATGGAAGTGTCCATGTTAGCTGTGTTTTGCATTTGACTGGATTTTTTTTTTTATGGGACAGCTTCTCCCTTAATTGTATAATTGTATGTGAATATGTCAACAATTATGACAGAAATGCCCATGAAGTGGGAGGGTAGTAATATGGAAGATGAAGCAATCCAAAGGAAAACAAGTTCATCACACTATGTCAGCATCCATTTTTTTAAAAGTAAGAAGTTCCATGCAATGTAATAGAGAACTAAAATGTTTTTCGTGATGCCAATCTTATATTTGACTAGAGGCGTCAGCAAAAAGCGAACACCAGAAAAGTCTCTGAAATGTAGGTCAAAACTTATGAGAACTTGAATAAGTAAAAATGGGGAAAAAGGATTTGGAAACACAAGTATTAAGAAAGAGGGCCTGAAATAGTTTGTCTGTTTGTGTTATGAATGACCCCCTATTTTATAGAAAAGAGGGCACAGAGGATAAAGTATGTAGCTTGACATACTTAAGGGGTGGGGTGCTTCTAGGCCATGCTGTAAAAGTAAAGTTCGAAGTCAGTCTGTGGCCTCAGACCTTCCATTAGTGTGGTTAAATCAGGAGTATTTTTGTTGTTGATCATTGCAGACATTGACTCTGAAGTGGAAGCAAAGAGCAACTGTGTGTGTTTTTGTAGTAAATGATGCCTGTGCAACAGCCAGGATCTGACTTTGTGTCTTGGATTTCCTAAATTCATGTTCAGCTGGTTGGGTAAAGACCCATCTTGCTAAAAAGCCTCTTTAGAGTAGAACTGCTGCTTCAGGGTGATGACTAGGGTAAAATGGTTCACAATTTAAGAAAACAACCTAATGAACATGGCTTGAATTCCTGGAGCTGAACATACATTTCTATTTCAGCACGAATCTGCAGTGAGCTTTAGTTAATCTATTTTAGTGGTAACTGGGTGTTCAATACCTGGCATTCATGCGTGGAAAACAAAAGTTATTTGTGAGCTTGGAAGTAGTAGAGAGACATAATGTACTGAGAGCCCCTTTGGGACTTGCAAGGTGACTGGCACCTAGGGTCTGTGCTGCCTTGCCGAGCTCAGTGTGGAGCACCGGGTGAGCCTCAGGGGTGATGGAGAACATGTGTGAAATACACCGTGGGATCACTTAAGTCCTGTGAAGTTTTCTCTTCTTCATCTTTCGAAGGGCACCAGGCTGAGAGGTGCCAGCTAAAGGCGATGCTGTTGTTGAAATAGCACTGAGACTTCAGCTGAGCTTTGTAAAGGAGGATCATGGAGCACTCCACAAACATTAATTTAGTCTCACACTAACAAGGTAGGAGGCTAGCAGTAATACTCATCTTACTTAGGACTGACTGCAGGCAGAAACTATACGATTAGCTCACCTAGGTAAGTCAGTGGTAAGGGCTGGAGTAGCTGACTGCCTGTTGTACTTGTAGCACATTTGTCCTGCTCGGAAATAGGCCACAGACCTTATTGACTACAGTAATAGGCAGATCTCTATCATTTAACAAACTCCGAGACTCAGCGAATCTCTGCTGCCCACAGCAGAGCTGAAGTTCCTGCTCCAACAGTAACTCAGCTACTTTGTTGATTTGTGTCCAAAAATACCCCAAACAAAAGCAAATGGTGTTTCAGCACTTTAGAAAGAGAGACAGATGGGGAGCACGGTGCAATGTGGTACATGGCAGAGGTCATGGTGGGACAGAAATAATGTCAAACTTGCATTTCATGGTACTGGATTGCGGCTTGATTTTCCACGCTTTAATGGTCTTTTAAAGCCAAAGTTGTTTGTTTCTATGTATTTGGAGCCACTTTGCAAGTCACGGACAAAGATTTAAGTGAAATGGTGCGAGATTATTTGCCATATAATACTCGCTGAAAAGACAAGTAGTTGGTTACAGAACATGATCAGAGGAGCGGGTGTCATAAAATAAAAGTTTAAATATGCTCCAGGAAGAAGCATCATGATGGGGATAGCAAAGTGTGGACCTTAATGGCAAGCTGCTGTGAAGTTACAGGGCATCCTTAACTGGTGGGGGCCAGGTACTGCTGACAGATGGGGAGGAACTAACAAAATCTAATGCACATGCAGGAAAATGCCATTTTAAAATGTAGGTTAAAAATTCTGAACCTGCTTCCTTCAGGGTTCAGTTGTTTCTTCCAGCAGGCAGTGTCTGAAGGTCCTTCAGCTTTCTGGCTTTTGGAGTCTTACGCACATTTCTGGTGCAAACAAGGGCATATTGCCAAAATGCCAATGAGTTAACCAACAAGAAACTCACATGGAAGAGATCAGCCAAAAACAGAATTAGTGATCGCTAAATGGGTGGGATACGTAGGAGCATGGCCGGAGCTGTACAGGCTGTAGCTGCTGAACACTGCTGTGTGAGGTGATTCTGGTGAGGCGTTTGCCCCGATGGTGGTACCAGGGCTTGGGCAGGTGTCGCAGCTTTCCCTTCTGCTGCTGTAGGCTGAAGCATTAGTGCTCTAGCAGACTTCTTCCAGAAAGCAGCATCCTAAAATGCAATGTGGCCATGCAGTTAGAAGGTTCAATCTCTTTTTGGGCCTCTCTCCTTAGAGTCAGCAGCCAAGCTTCTTCTGGCTTTGCCTATGGGACCAGGACTTAGCCTAGCTTCTTTAACCTGCTGGCAATAAGTCCCTGTGAGACTTCATCAATTTTTTTCAGCTTTATAAGGAACTAGCTGGCTAACTACTCTCCAGTTTCAGTTTGTTTTGATGTTTGTGTTGGTTTCTTGGAAAACCAGCCACGGTCCTATCAGGATTATGCATTGATATTATACAATGTAAACAGAAGGCTACAGGGGACCAGACTGTGCCGGCAGTGCTTGCTTCCTGTGGGCTTTGGTACTTGGATGTGGTGTGCTGATCTTATTTATTTTTTATTTATTTGCCCCTTAATTGGGCAGCAGATCTTTAAGCCACCCCTTAAATTGGTAGTTAGCATGTGTTAAGCGTGTATTTTTACTGAGAGGTAGTTCTGAGGTATTTTTCAGATAAGGACACACGCAGGATAGGTGTGCAAGTAAATATTATTTACCTTCTGCGTGCATTTGGTTCAGTGGATGGTTTGTTTTGTTTGCTGTGCGGAGGCTTTTGTTGATGAGTACTTTGGAAGTGTCAGGGTAACTACTTGTGGTCGTTTGCTTCAAATTTGTGTATTAAAATTCACTTCTCTTAGGCAGGGAGTCAAATTTCCCTATTGCACATTTTAATGGCACTTGGGAAATCCTAGCTCATACTGTCATGGGGCTCTGCATCAACATTGCTATATGTAAGTGCGTGATTAACAGATGAGTGGCTGGCAATATGTTCCACTGCTGAAAAAGATGGATATCCTGACATTTTCAGAGGCAAAATATGAAAAACTACAGTGGCCACTGGTGTGGGAGAGCTGTGGATTGTCTTACTTACTTGACTAGTGAAGTGTGAGGGCTTTTCTGCTGTCCTTCAGACAGGAACGCGTTCAAGAGCTGGGCTGGCTGGTGTCCTTGCTTCACACTCTTAAATTACATATTGCTCGTTAATCTGGCATTAGGTGGAAATGTTAAGATTGGAAAAAGTATATCCATGCTGTTATTGATAATCGAAATAAATCTTCATCTATCTTGCCAAAAATTTCCAAGATTCTTGCAGTAGTGCCCCGTATGTTTGTCACTGATTTGTTAAAATATCTATACAATAGTCATTTATGCCTAAGGGTTTGTTGTGAATTTATGACTATTTTTGCATGACAGGTCACAGTAATGAAAGGCAGTAGTAGGAATAAGGATCATTCGACAGAAGGAGAAGGAACTGGGAAGCGACCAAAAAGAAAGTGTCTTCAGTGGCATCCCCTGCTTGCCAAGAAACTCCTTGACTTCTCTGAAGAGGAGGAGGAGGAAGAAGAGGAGGAAGATATTGATAAGGTAGACTTCATCAGATGCTTTTACTGTAGAAGGTTGCTTCTTGCTGTTCTCTTTTGTGAACAAACACAGACAATAAAAAGAAGTGATACTGTGCCCATAAGGCTATAAAGGCAAGCAGCAAATAACACAAAAAAGTGAATTGTCAATCATGCTTTTAAAATCCTGGACAAAACTCTCTTTTTTTAGAGTTAGACCGTGAGAGTTTTAACTGGGTTGTTTTAACAACCTGTTGCACATCTCATTGCTCAAGGTGGGGTTTTGACATGGCTTTTTTACTTGTTTATTTTAGACATGAATTTAGCCTGTGCTTGATAGATGCTTCTAGTGGCTCTGAGGACATACCAAGCTAATAGTTTTCTCTCTATATTAAAGATTAAAAAAATACAAATATTAAAAGGGAAAAAGAAGGAAAAAGCTGTCAGCAATTTTTACTATCTTTGCACATGAAATTCAACTTACCCTCCAGAATATTGAGAGCACAGGTGGAATAATCTGTCTCTGGTGTGACACTTGGTATTTTAGTATTGTTCAATGATGCTGGCCTTACCCATTTTTTGTAAGGACCCCACAATGTGGCACCTCACAGATGTACAGTTAGACTCATCCTCTGTGACAAGAAGTGGGAACCGGTTATGGAAACATCATGTTTCCATCATGTGGATAACATTCATATCTGCATCTCCTTGATGCCTTCCTAAAGCAGGAAGGGAGAGGTCATTGCTGAGGAGACAGCCTTGAGCCACATACCGATAAGGAAGAGCGACCCTGACAAGGATAAGAAGCAGCAAGGAGGAGCCTGACGCTCTGACAATGCTTTCTGTTGACCTTACAGGTCACTTTCACGATGTGGTATAAAAAAGCAGTGTTGAGTTATGTAGGAGATGGTTGTCTGCCTCATACACTAATTCCTTTCATTCAGTCAGAAATAGTCCTCTGTGGCGTGTGCCTTTGAAGGAATGATACACTGGCCTGTAAGTAGAGAGACCCTATTTTGGCAGGGTCTGTTCTGTTGAGATTTGCCCTCTGTTTCTGACTGGGCAGCTGTGCAGTGGCTGCACTGCAGCACAGCTCACAGGCTGAGTAATGAATGGCAGGGAAACAACTGTTACCTTTCTTTCCTATGCATGCTGTAGTTGCAAACACACATGATTGAGGTCCGAGGTAATTCAGCTCACCTCATCCCACTGAGATGATTTCTAGTTTGTAGGAAGGATGTCCTCCCTCCAGCCCCTTTAGGACTGTTACTAGAGAATGCTCCTCAGCTTAGAAATGTGCTCCACCTGCAAGTCAGAGCTTAAGTCTTGCAGACAGTGTGAATGAACCTTGGACTGTCAGGTGAGGAGGTTTGATGTAGAACTCTGGGTCTTCTGGAGCGAACGGATGGCATTTGGGGACAGCTGGGTACATCTCCCTTGTTCACACACAGCATACATTGACTCTTGGTCTCCATGAGAAACGTGGGTAACTGAGTTTACACCCCTTCCCTTTCGGTTCTGCTAGGTGCCGCTCCTTGGTGCTGACGGTTTAGAGCAGGATGCTGATGAAACTGAAGATGATGAGTCCTCAGAGCAACGAGCTCGCCGACCAATGAATGCATTTCTCTTGTTCTGCAAACGCCATCGCTCTCTCGTGCGAAAAGAACACCCTCGCCTTGATAACCGTGGCGCAACCAAGATCTTGGCAGATTGGTGGGCTGTTCTAGATCCAAAAGAAAAGCAGAAGTACACTGACATGGCCAAGGAAGTACGTACTGTCTGAATGGTGATGTAGAGGGAGTTCATTACACGTTTGTCCCCTGTTTCTCAGTGTATTAAATGTTTTCTGTGGGGTCTTTCTCTTCCCTGAGCTCCTCAGCTTCCCTAGTAGGATTATGGTGCCCAGAGCTGCTGCTGTTCTTGCTTTGATTCTCTTGGTCCTTTGGACCAGAATGAAAAGAAATTGGTCTGTCTACACAAACTAACCTGGCTCTAGTAGTCATTGGAACAAATGTATGCACTTTGTGGTAGATATCATATGATAATTCCTGCAGTACAAGCATTAACACGTGCATAGAGTGTGGCCATTGAAAACAATAACTTATATAGTTCAGTATCAGCTGACTGTAGTGATACTTCCTTAAGCTGTGCATTTGCTATCGATAATACAGGTTGCTGTTATAACACAGGTGGACCAAACCAAAAGCATAGTCAACAAATGTAGTCCCTTTTTACCTTTGATGCTAAAGAATTTTAAATTTACTAGTGTTTCATGAAGTGTTCTCCCTATGTATTGCTACCAATTTCTGATATAGCAGCCTTTAGTGAGGCAGAGTCCAATACCTGAATCTGAGAGCAAGGCACAGTCAGAGTCCATTAACTGAGAGCAAGGAAAAGAGATTTATCCTCATATTGCACAACATTTTATGCCACTTTAAAATTTAAATGGGGCTTCTTAGGAAATAGCTTGCATGGTAAGCTGGCCCCAAGAACGCTGTCGATATGGATAGTGGAGAGTGAAAGACAAAGGCTGATAACATCACCCCAAACCAGATCACTGTAATTACCTGTGTGATCTAGATTGTGGGTAACCATTGAATTAAGTGTTAGAAAAAATAATGGAGGGCCAGCAAGAAGGAATAACATCTCTCTCATTTGTTAAGTAATGCTAGTGTACTGCAAGTACAGATAGCTGTGAAACGGTTGGGGAAACTATTAGCTGTACCTGCCCTGTCACTTGAAGTTGTCTGCTCTTGTTAACACACATGTGTAAGGTCAGGCTGTTCAGTAGTTTGTGTGAGCATGGAAAGGTCCACAGGAAAAACAGTGTTCTGCATGGCAGGTCCTTTTTGAAGCAGGGTCTGTAGTACTACCCCTGTAGTCTCCTGTCTGTGACATAGTGTTGAAATACTTGAGTCTTAACTTTGTCCAACCGTTCCTGAATTGTTCTGCATTCCCACTTACAAATTAGCGATACTTCTTGAAATGTGTGGGAGAAGGGCAATTAGGAGAGCCAGTACAGATACAGAGGAAGGAAAGATGAAAATGAAGAAATAATTTTTGGAAGAAATAAACCTGATGTGACTGTTTCTCGTAGACTTTTGTGTTGCCGAAGGAAACTCATTCATTAAGAAGGAAAATAATTGCAGAACTTCTGTATGAAGTGACAGATCTGAAACTATTAATCATATTGTTGTAGAAATGATTGTTCGAGTAGTGATTTATTTGTTTTTCTGGGCATGAAGAACAAATTGCGTCTTCAGCATCAAAGAGAAACAATAAATCTAAGTTTAGGTCATTACAGCTAGTTCCAAGAATGCTTAAAGAGAGAGAGCATATAATTTTTATTCCTTAAACAGTTGTATGTTACAACAATAATTAGCAGCTATAATGTGTCATTTGAATGTATTTGGGCCTTCACCACCAGGACTATTCTGTGTATGTGTGTATCGGTTGTTTGTTTTAACACTCACTTTTATAGTTAGGTTTACTGCTGAGACTGTCAAAAAGATGTTAGTGTCAAGTCTATTGCGAACTTTTTATTGGTGTTTTTCTTTTTCCTAAGGAGCTTGCTTAAAAGTCAGGAAGGTGAATGCCTTTGGAATGACATAAAATTACCATTGTATTAGTAGTCTTCTGCTTGTGTGCCTATACATATAAGCTCATTGAGGTTGAAAATACAGTGGATGAGCTTCTATTACTTAAATATAGTTTGTCAGTGCCCTTTGACTTCCAGTTTTCACTGCATAGCCTCTAGCCACTGCCCTAGCAGGGCACACATCTCCCAAAGGATGCTGTGTCATATCTGCTGTCCCCACAACATGTCTTGTGTACCTTGAGCATCTGAATTACTCTTCCAGAGATATGAACAGGCCCGACAGAAGTGGTCCCTACTGCAGCAGCTGCAACCCCTGTTATTTTACAGTCTTCCGAATGTTTTTACTACTTGAAGCCAAAGTTTACAAAGCCAGTTAGCTCAGATCAAGCATCAAGCAAGCAGCTTTCAGTTTCTCACCTGCTTAGTACCAGCAGTTGATACTATCCTAGTGTGGTGGTGTATTTACTTAACACATATCTGGCTGTGTGGAAGATTCAGGATTTTGGAGGCACTTGAACATTTTGCCAAATGGAATTATGAAAAGTTTTCCATTGGGTTGGACATCTGTCCGTGATTGCTACTGAGAGGATAATTGGGTCTATGATTCATTTGGGCACTTTTGGAAAATCTCATTACCTATCTGTCTGTACCTTGGGGTGCCTTAATTTCCTAGAAAAACTGGCCCTGTTGCTCCCTCTATTTTCAGTCTTGTGGTTTATGGTCTCTTGTAGCAACACCTGCCCCAGAGACCTTATTCTGTGCCTGCAGAGCTCAGTGTCAGCTTCTGCTGGTGTTTTCTTTAGGAGCAGACTTTCTATTTGTATCCTACAGACTTTGTAGATCATCTTAACTTGGAAAGTTTCATTATAGAGGATTTAAGCCCAGTAGCTGATAAATACTCCCAAGTGGAACCACAAGTGTTCCTACCATTTGGTAGCATTTCCTTTCACTGAGGGGAAAATGAATTCTGGCCGCTCATAAATACACTTAGCATTTTTAGTTACTACAATAATCGGGGTAGTGTTCTCCTCTTAACTCTTACGGGACTTACTGGGAATATTCAGCTGCCTTGGAAAATAGCCAGTGAGATTATTATTGTTCAAGCCATGTTTCCCTTGCTAGAAAACACTTCATTTTTAAAATAGGTCCTTGCATTGGCAAGATTTAGGCAGTCCGGATTGATTCCTGTAGGGAGCAGCCTGATGAGTCCAGGCTGCTGCCATTCAGTGGCAGAGCTAACGTTTCTCCCCACGAGTGCTCTGCCAGTGGTTTCACTGGTACAGTCATCCCGGCTGGGAGCTTGCTATCCTTTGCTATCCTGCTTTGGCAGCCACCTCGGGGTAGAAGGGAGCAAATGTTCTGGCTCTCTGGCTGAAGTCTGGCAAGTTCACTGGGTGACCTATGGACCATAACGTGTAATGTGAACCCTGTGTCCTTCACAAGTAAAAAACGAAGTGTAGTATTTTATTGGGATTGATTTTTTTTTTTTTTGTTAGATCTCTGGGATTCATGTGACATTTAATAGCCAGTTGGTGGGATTTAAGCATCCATTTAAAGTTAAGCACGTGCTAAGTGTTATCCTGAGGTGTAGCTGGAATCCACTTGTGACCTTCTGTTCCCACCACACTGGAGAAAGCAAATCTTTTTTTTATTTGGTGATGAAAGCAACTCAAGGAGTTGCACTGAAACGCAGCACCTTTTTTTAACCTCAGCTCTAAAGGGGCATCAGTCTCACTGCATAACACATCCTTCCCCAGGCTTTCACAAAACAGAAATGATACATCAGACCAATCCCGCAAACATATCCTGTGCGTTTTTATCCCTGGAGCTTTGGGATGTGACCCTGCTGGTCTGTCCCTGCCACTCCCATGCGAACCAAGGCGCTATCTTTGAATTCCAGGTTAAGGACTTATCTTTTTTTTTTTTTTCTTTTTTTCTTTTAAAGTGATTTTAGAGATGTCCTTAGGCTGGCTGTGTTAAGTTGGTTTACTGCATAGTTGGTCAAATGGAGGAAAACAGTGAGCTCTGCTATTGGCTTTGGCCTTTTCTCATTACTGTGTAGCTCATTTAAGTTATCTTCTCATGACCTGGCAAGCAGAATCTATCAGTTCATTTTAGGCCTTGGTCTAGTAGTCACAGAAATCAATACTGAAAGTCTTTCTGAGCTTTGGATCAGGCCCCTGTATGCATTTTATAAAACTACTTCTTGGCCATTGTTTAACTACTTCTTATATTTTCTTTTTTGTTTACCTTGAGTGTTGAAGCTGTGACAGGGGCCGATGAGTTGTCTGCCCTCAGTTTGCTCTCTCCCCTTTGGAGAGTGCAGTTAATGTTCACTTCTTGGCTTTGCAGAGGAAAAAATCCGTTAATACACCAGCTCACTTGAATTGCTCTTGTTGGAAACTGATTAAAAGCTTATTGCTGCCTCGTCTCGCAAATGGCATGCGTTCTGGCTCTCATTTGATGGGCAGCCTGTCGGCTTGTCAAATTGCTCCATAGAATAATTCAATTACTCAAAGCAGCAATGCTGATACGAAGAGCTTATGTGTCTTATTGCTAGTGATTCTGTGCTTTTCACTCTGCAGGCTGGAAACATGATTTGTGAGTGGGCTGTGGCTTTAACAATGGAAGGCAAAGCTGCTTCGCTCTGTACTTCCTTTCCCCTCTTCCCTTACCCCCTCCCCTTCCCTTCCATCCACCAGGCTATTTTTGTGGCGTACTGAGCTCCCAAACCAAGCTGAGGGAAAGGGAAAAGGGGTGAGGTGAGAGGTGGCACAGTCCTTAGTTTGCAGATTTAATACGTACACCCTATTCAGAAAATACAGACTGTATGTGGGTCAGCGGTCCCTGCAGATTTTTATTATTTATAGCCATTTCTATAAATACAGGACTTCACACAGCGGGTTCACAGGGTGCTGTGCTTCTTGTAAACGGAAACGTTTTTATCTGTGCTACAGTCTGGAGGTAGCAAGTGCCAGCTGATAGGTTACGATGGAAATGAAAGTAAGCGATACACATGCAGTGGTGATCTTGCCACGAGGCATGCCGTTTATTGATCTGGGAAAACACTGCAGTGACTTTATCAGAGGACAAGGTTTTCAGTGCTATTTCTGTATTTGATACGCAAGAGGTTTTGGGGTTTTGTTTTTTTCCCCTCTGCCTGTGTTTCTGTGCAGGCATGTGCATGAAACATAGGTGCTTCTCTGTGCCATGTCTGGGAATGATGACAGCTGGGTGGGTGGGAAGATGTGGAATCAAGGAAGGAACTTCTTGCAGCTGCCCCGCCGTGCACTTTAGGATAAAACCGGTCTTTTGGTCGTTTGCTGCCATTGAGAGCTACCTAGTGCATGAGGAGGTACTGGGTCCCTTCTGCCTGCGGTGAGCGCTGGTACTTACTGGGTAGGCTCCCACAGCAGTCTGTGCTGTACACCCCTATCAGTTGTTAGGCGAACATTTGCAGCTGGAATGTGTGGCATGTTCCTCTGATTCGCCCTGTCTCCACCTTGCATAGCAACACATTTAAAATACTGAAATGTGTTATTTTTATTGCTGTTAACATTCAAAGATTTGGGTCCCATCAGCAAGATACTTGGAAAAACTCATTGTTGCATTATGTGAATAAAATAGGTCCCTATCCTTCCCCCTACCCCCCAAACTATGTAGGATCCAGACCATTTTGCCCACCCCACTAGTCTGGTATGGTTTGTTTTTCTGCCTCATGCCAAGAGTATAGCAAACAACTGAGATGTGTGCTGTGTGCTGAAGGCCAAAGAAAGTTTTAAATGGTCCCAGTTTATTTTATGCAGCCATGCAGTATGGTACACTTTCGAAGGAATGCTGGGATGATGTATCAGAAGTTACTGAAAATTAGATGATACTGGTAGTGGCTTATTTTCAGTGCCTGGTTTGGGAAAGCATATACTCAAATATTCTAAAATACAGAACTGTTAGAGAAAAATGAGTGCAAGGTAAGGCGCATCATGCTGTGTTTATTGCTAAATGTATGTTTTCATTTCATTCAAACTAGAAAGTAAACAAAGAATGTACCTGCAAAAGAATTCGAGCAGGTGTTTCTTTCCCGGAGAGTGAGCGTACAAGCACTGGGGTGCAGTTTGCAGGATCAGAACTTCAGCCTGCTCTGGGTGATAAACCCTCAGGAGAGGAAAGAGAAACCCCCCTTCTTTAAATACAGCTCTACTTATCTTAATATTTCTTCTTACTGAATTGTGTTGGTGGTCAAACTCTAAGCATGTGATTAAACTGTTAAAAAATCAAGATATTTAAGGATTATTTACTGTATTAAATCCTGTTACACACAGTGCACTCTATTGCCCTGTGGATAGTATAATGGCATGACTGGCATGACTGGTAATTTTGCTTTTCTTTTCTAGTACAAGGATGCATTTATGAAGGCAAATCCAGGGTACAAGTGGTGCCCCACAACAAACAAACCTGTTAAAACCCAAGCATCCACTGTTACAAACAGGAAAAAACTATGGGCCTTAGCGTCAGACACTGCAAAAGATATACCAAGCCCGAGGAAAGCGACAAAAAGTGAAGAAATGCCACAGCTTAACTTCGGGATGGCAGGTGAGATTTCCATCTGTGTTACTTGGACATAGCATCCTAATTTTGTTTGAGGATGTGGCGTTGAAATTTTTTCTTTACTGCACATGGTACTATAGTGCAAATAACTTTCATGTCCCAAATTAGGTTGCCAAGACTCCAGTTAAACCTGCATAACAACTTTCTAAAATTTTCCTTAGTGCTTGATTGCTTTCAAGAGTTGGGTCCAGATATGTGGCATCATAACCCATACGACCCTTGGGGTCCAGATTTGATTGATTTTTAATTCAAGCTTATCTGCTGTTAGAGATTTTCATTTTCTAGTCAAAAAGGAAAATGCTGATTGTGTGCATTCTTCTTCTTTTTCATAGAGCATTGTACTATGATTAGTAGTTTGCTGTTTACAAAAATAATTTATGGGTGTCTATGAAGTTGGAGGTGTTAACGTTCTTGTGGATGAATGTACTCCTGGAGCTAACTTTTTGTCTTTAAATAAAGATAAGAGTGATTTAATTTCACTTAAAATATGCTCTTTTGCCCATTATACCTTGGAGGAGTGGATTCTAACCTTTTAAACATTAAAAAAAAAAAAAATCGAATCTGTGAATAAGTGTAGGTGGAGCACGTGAACTGGTAAAAGGCAGATCATCTCTCACTGACTGCTCACTTCTCCACAAATAGCAGAACTGTTGCAATCATGACCTTGAAATACAGAGATATTAATGTTAAATACTGGCAGCTTAAGAACCTAACAGATAATGTAGAAAATAATATTTCCCTCACCACCCTTTTTTCTTTCTTTTTTTCTTTTTTACGGTTTAAAGTTTCTAATTTTATAAATACTGGTGTATTCGGAACTTTGTCATATCCTACCTAGTTTATGACAAGCATGTGGCAGATAGGACTTTTTTGCTGAGAGAGATCATGAGCTGGAGAGTGGAAAATGGTTTTATGGAACAAGTGTAAAAGGATAAAAAAGCATGTATGCCTTTTTGGCAGTATAGTGGTATGAAAAGTCCTGCAATGAAATTCCTTCTCGCTATGAAGGAACTGTGAAATGTGATCAAAATAAAGTTTTTTGTGCTACATAGTTATGATATAAGGGAGACCAGTTCTAAAAATTGCAAGCCCCTTCATCCCATAATGCTTTCACTATCAGAGGAGTAACTTCTATGCTCCTTACAGGTTTATTGACTTAACAAAAAGAACAAGTAATAGCTCCTGGTCTACCTGTCTGCCATCCCCCACCGCTCCTGCTGGGCTATTCAAACGTAGAGTTTCTAGGTATAGAGAGGTCTTGAATGAACACCTGTCAGAGCAGAGGACAGAGAACTTACAAATTGATTAGAAACTAATCTAATCCATTGTTTTGTCTATAGAGCCATTCATTTCTGAAGAAGGCCCTTTTGTGCTACATGTGATTTAATTATTTTATTTTTTTTTACTGCAAGACTGAGTCAATGTGCATAGTAATTCATAGGGTTCTCACTCCAGTCCTCATGCCAGTGAAGCCTGACTATTTCTTGAGTATAACAATAGCTCATAAAATAACAACAGCTTCTGGCAGAGATGTTAGCAGCATCCAAATCATTACGAGTCTGCCATGCCAAATGCATTACTGTTTAGTCAACTATATACCAGTTCGTGCTAAATGTGTTTTGCTGTGTTCTTCTCTCCTTGACTTCACGTGATAGAAGAGTCAGAGTTGAACTGAACTATCCAGCACAACCTCTTTTAAAATCTAGGCTGTATACTAGGCAATGAACTAAGATGTAGCTGAACCATCTTTACCTTGGAAACACCACTGACTTGTTTTGCATCTTCAAAGCAGATAGCTTCCTTAGGATAGGGATTATATGATTCCAGAATCATTCCAGGAAATCTGTTTTACTTGTTGGTAGTTGTTAATCCTGTCTTGATTGCTTTTTACATATTACATTTCATTTTGGAAAATGTAATATAAAGATCTTCCTTTCTTTTTTTAAGTCTCACACAGGCCATCTCTCTCCTTTATTTTTGGCATTCCAGCAATAACCACCCCACTTTTAAGCCTTTCTGTCATTGTGTCAAGAACCTGAGGTGTGGCACCAGCACTGGGCTTCTGACCTGCAGACCAACTAGTGGTATCCTTGCTCATCCAGCCTGGAAGTTGTAATTGAGCATGTTTTTCTCATGACATGGCTCACCTGTGATCTGTTGTAGGGCGTAGGGCAAAGACAATTGCTCTTCACAGGTGAATGTGACCATTGCAGCATCTACCCCCACAGCTACAGAGCTAAGTGAGCAACAGCTTCGCTGTACAAATATGCAAGATTCCCAATACTTTCACATTTCTACATCAGAAGAAAACCATCTGAGCCAAAAAGCTTTTTAGTGAAGCAAAGGGTAAAAAAAAAGACACTTCCTTGAGTAGGCAGTATCTTGATAGAGATGCAAATTTTCTTTTTTAGAAAGAAGCTTAATTCTGCACCCAGGTAAAAGTTAGTTGAAACTGGTACCTGCTAGCCTTCTTTTCTGCTTAGTTCTTCCTCAGTTTGTTCTTTCCTCTGACAGAAGAATTGTGGTGATGATGAAAAAGCCATCCTGCTGAGTATCTGAGAAGACCAATACTAACAAAGTATGTCATTTCCAAATAGGTGGTTTTAAGTTTCATTGATATCAAAAGCTGTTGAGAAAGTCACAAATTGCCTCCCATTCTGCAAGTCAAATGTGTGTGCTATTTTCTCACTACTGTTGATTTAACTGTAAATTGCTCTAAAATACCACTTAAAATTCTTAATTCTTCATACCAATAAGTTCTTAGTGCCATAGGGAAATATTGTTGTGCTGAGAAGGCACTGTAAACGTATGGCAGTGTTTGCATATGTACATTTTGTCTTCCCTTAGATTAAGTTATTTTGTATTTTGAATCCTTTGTGGAAGGATTTTTGTTTTTATCATGATCAGACATCTAAGCACCCACCCTCTGCTACAGCTGCAGCATAAGTATTCAAGTTCTTTAAGCACCAAATTAAACTTTCACTTTCCACTTAGCTGTCGTTTTTTTCCTTCCCCTTAGTTTTTATATTTAAATAAACAGTCTAAGTATTTGCTTACTTGGGGAAAAAGCAGTCCTATCCTTGCCCTGTTATGTTAAGCGTCTTATTTGAAGGACAGAAAGCTGAGACCGCCAAGAAGACGTTTAGAAGAGGGGGAAGAATTTTAGAGCCATACTGGGTGGTCTCCAGTTGTCCAAAACTGAGGAGGGGGAAGAAGGTAACTAAAGTGAAGCACAAGAGAGCAGCTGGGAGCCGTCAGTGTGATGTGGGCATAAGAAAGTGCTATACTGCAGTGTGTCAGGCAACGTGTTTTCAGGAACTGCAGAGAAGAGTTAATGCCATTGAACAGATCACAGCTCATCTGACGTGGGTGCCCTGCTGGTCACTGATGAACAAGAAAGATGAACTCCACCTGGAATAACTGGAGAAGAGAGCTACAGAGATCACTGGGACCATGGGAGATGGACATGCTTGATGACATCAGGAGATCTTGATTTGCTTAGACTAGGAAAGCAATTGGAAGAAAAGTAGAGTGACTCCTGTAAACGCAGAAGAGGGAAATACCACTTAGGTAGAGCAGTTATTTAATTTTAAAGATGTAGGCACCAGATAAAATGTGTACCACCTGGCCCTGAGTCAATTTAAGCTGAAAACTTGAAGAAAGCTCTTAATGCTTAGATTTGGGTTCTGCAACAGCCTTCTAATGGGAATAAAGAAAGTAGAAAGCAACCAGCCAAGCCCTTAGTGTTTAATATGAAGCTCAGTAAGCTTATGAGATCTCTGGAGATCTCTTGCCATCTCTCCTTCCTCCAAATTAACTCCCTGCTCAGGCATTGTCTTTCAAGATACATGTTCACATGTCACTTCTTAATTGCTCTGATGTCCTCTTGTTTGAAGGACTGAACGGTTTCTGATCAAGTATTTTGATGGCAAAAAGTGCTGTGCTGACAGGATCACTTCACTTATTAATTGTATGTAGGTACTTGTGGGCCCTTCCTATTTTCTGTCTCCGTATCTTCAACCACTTCTTGTTACTAGATCTTACACTTCTGATAGTGTCTTGTTTCTTTGTAGAAACTTAATATCTTTTGTTCCCTTTTTTATTTAAAAGTAAAACGGTTTAAAAGAAAAAACTACAAAAAAAACCCCACACGCCTTCTACCTGTTTATTATGGTAAAGGAAAAAATTAATTCCAATTGAACATTGGTTTTGAAGCTAGATGCTATTTAGGCTGTGTTCTTAAGATAATGAGCCACTCTTCTATCCTTGAGCTAGTGGATGAGCCTGATTTATTGACATTACTTTGCTCTGCTTCTCTTTACTGCTGTTTTAAGAGAGTATTGAAAAAACCCTGTGAATGTCGCTGCAAGATGCTGTCTGAGGGAGAACTTTTGGCAGCATCTGTGGTATTGAATTAAACAGCACTAGTGGGTATTCCCATGAACTGGACCTTGATCATCTGTAGCACTAAATCATTTGGAGGTTTGCAGGTACGGGTTTGGCCCATGTCAGCTGAAAAGCTCAGCAAATTCCTCGGTGTCGCTCATGAGTGGGAATGGGCCAGGGGATTTCCCAGTGGGCATTTTGGATGCAGCTATTCTGCCTCCAAATTTTGCATAACAAAATGCACCCAAACGGACAAGGGTAATTGTGCCAGTTGGCCTCCATTCTAGGGAATGGTCCCAGGCACGTGTAATTATTGTTGTAGAGAGAGGTTTTGTATAGTTTAGTGAAAGGAAATTGGAAAACATGAGTGCATGCTTAGTGAAACCTGGGGAAGGTTACTTATCTTTGGTGTCTCGTTATTACTGAAGTTGGTGTCTCAGCAATACAGTGAGGATAATGCTTCCCTTTCTCTCATGCTGTGGCTGTCGTGCAAGACATTTGGGCCACAAACTGTCTCCCTCTCTCTACATGACATTCTGTTAAATCAGGCCCCTGCATTGCTTCCAAGGCACTCCCCCAAAATCAGACAATTAGTGATGAAGAGCAACCACTGTTCTGAGTGGAAAAGCCACTCCATGAGTAATGCAGTCCCGAAGCTCATTGCTTTCACTTCTTGTTGTCATTTTCCGAGCTCCTGAGGTGCGAGAAGGCTGGAGGCAAGAAGCTGTCAGCATCAAATACTCGGAGAAAGAACATTTATATCTCCATTTTACTTTCCTCAATTATATATTGTATTGGCAGGGCAACAAGTAGGCAGGCAGCTTGCCTGGCCAGCGCCTGTGCTGTTCTGGCACAGAGAATTAAGCACTTCATGCTTCAGAGCTGTCAGGCTGGCACTTTTCACCAGTAAATGCAGCTCTAAATTAAAGCTAAATGAAAATAGAAATTTTGCTTCAGAGCTTGATCATGTCATTTTGTTCCATCCTTTTACTTGCTCAACGGCTAAGGAAGGGAACCACTCCCTCAATAGGAGCATTCATTGAGTTATAAACGTGTGCAATATTAGAGCATCTTTGTGTATATTTATGTATGAGATCATTACAGTTGCTGTTTTAAAGATATCCATCTCTGTAGTACATAAAACCTTTGGCAGTAAAATTGTAAATCCACGCAATGGGGTGTTAAGCACACAAATCCAATTAAATCCTTCAAACAGCTTTGAAAGCCTCTCCCAGAGGGTACAGAAATGGTTATTTGTGATTCTCTTGAACTGCCTTTTATGGCAGCTTGCTTAGAGTGTCTGTGACAAGTAGTCTTCTGGGGGTTTAACACTGCAAATGGTAGGTTCTTTAAACAAGCAAATGAATAAGCTTAAGACTCAGTTTTACTCTTTTAACAGATCCTACACAAATGGGAGGCCTGAGTATGCTGCTTCTAGCGGGGGAACATGCCCTGACTGCACAAGAGGTAAGGAACACTCTTCTCTCCTTTATCGTGAGCCCTCAGTTTAAAGAGAGCTCTGAAGAGGAATATTTGACCAGTGGGAAATGAAATTTAAGATACATCTTGGGTAACCTCAGGTGGGACAGTGGGACTGAAGTGTGAGCCCTGTGACGTGAGTCTTGTATCCCAACCGTGAACATAGAGGTTGGGCCCACTTTTTATATCGGTTCAATATTAACTCTGCTAACTGAATATTTGATCAAATCAGGCAAGTCTGCCCCCTGAGTGGATACTGTCACAGGCGGAAGGGTTGAGATACAGTGACTGTGTTAACAAATGACTGGTTTGCAAGCTTTTTTGGGCAAGGATTTCATATGCTTGTGCAATGCCTCACATAACAGTGGCCTTGGCACTAATAAAAAAAAGTGAGGAGGGTTTCTTTGTTGTTGTTATTGGGAGGAAAAGCAATAATTAACTATCTATATGTGATACCCCCAAATGCAAAATGTGTAGTGCATTTGAGATGGATTGCTCCTGTACTGCCAAGGCTGAGCCAAGACTCCTCAGTGCTTTGCACACCAGTTTGAGCAGTGGAAGTCTTTGTGCAGATGTGGGTGTTGGCTTTCTGTGCTGCTGCATGAAAAATAAGAAACACTACGGTAAGGTTGGTAGAGAAGTGAAAAGAAATTTATTAATTTCTGCTAAAATGATAATGTCCTGTAGTTTTCAAACTTTTAATCTCTCAGCTGGGAGTTTAAAAACTGTTTTTACTATGCTGTTACATTTAAATGAGTGGGAAAGCGTACTGTAGTCACAGATACTCAGTTCCATTAAGCAGGGTCTTTGCTATGACCTTGTGAGTTGAGCCAGAAATTAATCCATACTTACTAATGGGTTACAGTATTTTAATTGCCCTGCACTATCAGAGAAGCAGGTAAGTGTCAGAGTACTTTCCCAGGGAACAAAACTGCACATCTCTGAGTCTTCCAGAGGGTCCCCGATGTAAAATACATCCTCCAGAACATTCTGGGTTCTTGGTATTCTCAAAGGGACCCAAATGGATGAAGTTCAGTCCTCCTAACTGCACATCAACAGGAATTAAGTCTCCAGCTGTGCTGCTGTGCACTGGGAAACTTCCTCAGTTTCTTTGCATGGCAGCCGTAGTCTGTCTTCCATTTCCCTTTATTTCCTTTGGATTCAGTGTTTCAGTGGCGATTAGATACGGAGCAAATATTTCTTAGGCTTGTGTTTCCCCAAATGCAGTAAAGATCCTAAACCTACTTAGACTTGGGTAACTGAACAGCACTTCTGGCTTCCCATCCTCACGTGTGTGGACAGACGAAACATAAAATGTTCATCTTCACGTGCCTATGGGACAGCTTGTGGTTGGATTTCCATCCTTATGCTTGAAAACAGTTTCACCCTCAAACCAGCGTTTGGGAGGTTAGCAGAACATGCTAGGAGGTGGTATGACAGGCTCAGCAGAAAGCTCCAGCATTCATTGTAGAGTTGGTAAGCGGCTTTCCTCTTCAGTGGAGGGAGGTTAGTTGTGTTGTGTTTGAGTTGGTATTGACATGGGGGAGAATTTGGTGTACTAAGGTGGCAGCTGACGTGTTGTCAGTGAAGAGGTTCAGAAGTTGCTTAACTGTGGAAAATACAAGTATTGTTTTTATATGTATGTAAGTATGTAAATTTATGTTGTATATCTAAACCCCTGGCATTTCTATTTAAAAAGAAGACAGTTGCAGTGTCATTTTCAAAAGAATGCTCTAAATGATATCATTTAGTCTTCATTATCATTAAAGCATGTGTGTGTACATGTAAGATACACGTGTATATACATGTTTCTTAAACTGGAGGACTGCCAGACATAAGATTACCTGTCTTAAAAATTGTTAATAGAAAGGAGGGCAGGAGTGGCACGGTTTGCTCAGAACTTGGGAGAAGATGAGGGAAATTATGCTTAGATGTCTGCCACATAAATGCGTTCAACGCCCACCGATTTTCTGTCAAGTGTATGTTAAATGAATGTATAGGGACTTTTCAAGTCGGGTGTTTAACCTTCGCGTTGTCAGAAGCCCAGATGTCAAGTAACAAAGTGAACAGGCGCCAGCAGGAGGATGGGAAGAGGCACAAAATTGCCTTGAGGTTTCAGTCGCCATCTCTGTATATCACCAGTTATGTCCCTGTTGTTGTAATTTTTTTTCAATGGGCTAGAGAGTTTTTCTTCTGATAACAGAATTCAGTTTGGGTACATGATTGATTTCCAAGCGGTGGCTGGAGTTACTAAGCAGATACGCACAGAAGCCACAGACATCACCAGCAGTAAATACAGGGCTTGGATATACGCAGTGAGTTTCCACCTGGCTTTTGGGTCCTTTCATCAGTTACGCAAGACTGTGGTGTGTATATGAGCAGGTTTGATGGAACACCCGAGCAGAAACGCCAGACGTGTCTGCTCCAGCTGCTGTCGTTGTGCTAAGCAGAGCCTGGTCCTCGCAGCAGGTTTATTAGTCCAAAGGCTGAAGCTGGGTGAGGAGCCCTCCTTGCTTGACCGCTCACCTCCCTCCCTGCACATCTCCCTTACTTGCGCGACAGGCCCTTTTCTTGCCTTACAGCAGCACCTAGTGGCCTGTCTGTGGGTTACTGCCCAGAAATCCCGGAATTCGTAGTGTAGTACAAAACCTGGCTCTTCTACCAGTTTCCTCCCTTGCAGCTGCCCGGTATGTCAGGACGGCATTAAAGCCTCACATCAGGCAGCGCAGAAGGTGAGCCAGGGGCTGTCGGTCGCCTTCGTTCGCCATGATCTGGTTTAGAGCAGGTTATGGTAACCTGCAGGGAAAGGGAGGTTGCGGAGGCATTATTCCTTGCAGTTTCGTTCTCTTCCAGAACAAAAGGTTACCGTGCATGCGGTGCCGGGTCTGTGCAGGGTGGTGTCGCCCAGGGCGTAAATCAGAAGTGAAAAATCTCTCAGTGCAGCTGAGGGTAAGCTGGGAGGAGGAAAGAAGAGAAGAAGTGAGGAGATGTTGAGGATGTTTTATTACGGCAGGAAATGAGACGTACGCAATGGCACTATCTGTGCATCCATTCCCTCCGGTAATTGTTTTAATGTTTTGATCGGGTTCAGCCTGGCAGAGGTTAGAAGTCCTGGAGATAATAACTTTCCCACAAGTCAGGAGTGTGTGGGGAGCACCAGAGCAGAAGAAAACAGCTCAAATTAATGCTTCTGTCAAGCAAAGGCAACAGCATTAACTTTTTAGAGATAACAGAAAAGTGATAGGAAAAATGTAGCTGTTCTAACCACAAAATCATCTCTGGAGTTACTGGGCACGAGCAATCTGTCCTTTACACACAAAGCTGTAGGAGACCGGGCTTCAGACCTTCCACGGCTTGTGGTTCCTATGCCACAAGGTGAACAAGCTGTGCCCGACCCCCAGCACGTGGCCTCCAGCCACGTTCTCCCCTCCAGCACGGTGCTCCTGGGGTGGTATGGGTCAATGGATCCCAACTCAGAGCTGGTTTGAGCCATGCCAGCTCGGGCATCTGTTGACATGTTCATGTGGTCTCTAGGTAGGCAGAGGAAGCTGCGAAGCCACCGTCTTCTTTCCTGCGGGTGGGCAGAGTTCAGGCATGCGTGGCCCTGCAGCACCTGCCCCGGGGAGCGGAGGGGTTTCACACGGCTTCCTCGTTTGCATCGCTTCTCCTAAGCAAAATAGTTCCCTTTCATACAGCGCATTGAATAAGCTACACTTGCAAACAGACTGCTTCGGCAGACACTGCAAACAATGCTACATAAAGCAGCTGGTCAAACTGCAGAAAATTTAAGCTTTATGGGAAACCAAATCCCAAATTTGGTTATTGCTGGGAGAAGTGGCCGGAAATAACCAAATGAGTGCTCAGACATGCAAGCAGTATCTTTATATATTTCCCACCAGTGCAGAGCCTCAGACCTTCAGAGATGGGTCACTCAACAGCAGCAAGATGAGTATGTATCCCTGGTGTGATCCACACCAATGCTGAGACACAGACATCTTAAACAGATCATAAAGAAACATGAGAAAAGCAGTAATAAACATTAAATGAGTGAAAACAGGAACACAAACCATTGAAAAAATAAAAGACAGTCATTAAAAATACGTTCTTTGTAATCCTTAGGGTTGGTGTACTCCCATAGTACACTGACAAAACATCCTGCTTGGTGTTTAATAAATATAATGGAAGCATAGATCACAGGAGGCACTGTTACTGCTTGGTTTTATGGTGGGAAGAAACAAGTTCAACTGTGTACGTAAGCAAATTGTGTGGTACAGTTCCCCTTGCCTGTGGGTTGCTACACTTGGATTTAGTGTTTTCAGGGGAGTATGGGCAGCAGATTCCTGAAATGAAATGCCACTAGTGCTATTGCAGGGCTTAAGCATCTCAGACAAAGAGCAGCAGGAGCGGCGGTACAAACTGCATGTGCTGTAGGCTTGCGTATTCTGTGGTGCATTGTGCTTACCAGCAACAGGTGCAGTTTGCTAGCTAAATCTCGTGTGCGTGTTCACTAATAAATGCCATTGACATACTTGTTTTGGTAATAAATAAGAGAAGAAACACATTTGCATCGAAATGTTTTAAATAAACTGAAATTTCATTAAAAAATTTAAATGGTTAGGGAAATAAAATTCCATCCTGTTACTTTCCTAAAATCCCACAAAGCTTCCTTCCTTTCTTCCGTTTCCTGTAAGCCATGTTCCATACCTTATTTGATACTAGTGGTACCTTATGCTTCTAGGAGTTATGCATGTAAATCTTCTACATTCAAATGTGACATTTAATGAGTGTATCATATTTGATACAATTCCTTTACAGAATGATGCTTGACTAACACATTTCTGGCTACTAAGAGTAGTATGGGTAAGCTCTGTGTTAATTTGAATAAGGCTGTTGGTTTTGAACAGTCATTTCTTTGTATTTTGATTTCAGAAGTTATGACTCTTTCTTGCACTGTTTCTCATGAGCATACCTAAATGGATGTTTAGGTACACTATTTGAGCAATTTTAGGTTTGTGGTATGCTTAACTACTTATTTTCATGCTCTGAGGTGATTGGGGATTATTTTTCTAATAAGTATTTCTGTCACTTAGCAACCCTCAGTGTCTTCATATTTATTTTTTTTTAGCTTCCAAGTAATTTTCGTATTCTGAGTGGTGGTACAAATTACAGATATAGCAGTGTTGATAGCATCACCGATACCAGGTAGTTGTGTGTGTAGCCCAATATCATCAGTTTAGTATTCTGTTTAGTATTCAGTATATTATTCTGTTGCGTTCTCTTGCAAAGTCTGGAATTATAAAAGAAAAAAAAAATCCCTGGTAGTTTTGTGGTCTTTCTTCTTAGGTGATTTTCAAATGCATTAAAAAGGGTGCTAAGCTGTGTTTTCACCTATAAATTTGATTTAACCTGTCCAGGACAGTGAAACATTAGATTGCCCATCTTCTCTTGAACATTGCTTTTTGTTACTGCTGCCTGGTATTTTGTTTTGCTCCCTGTTGTTCTTAGTTTCAAAGAAGTACCTTTGATGTCTTACTCTGCACACTCCTTGTTTCAGATTTCCTCGAGTACTTGCCAGTCTGATGCAACTAATTCTACGGAAACGTGTCAGAAGTCATCACTGTTTCAGTTTGCAGAGGTGAGTTTCTTTAAAAAGGGTTGTCTTCCCCAGCATTTTCCTTCTAAGAAGCATCTGATTTTCAGCTGAAAGAGAAATCAGAAATCTTTAACTAAAATTCATGCTTTTATTTGTTCCTTCTTTTTGGGTTTATGGTACTGGATCATTTACCAGGTAGATAGGTCAGACTGGAAGGGCAGGAGAGTGTTTAGGAACATGGTGGAAAGCCTAGTGTTGTAATAATGGAACTGTGGTTTAAGCAGTAATTTTGAGATGTGTCATGCTTGCATTTAAACTGGAGTCTTACTAACTGAAGTTTTAACATGTGTATTTGGATGTTACATTATGTCATTTATCTATTGTGGCTGCTTTAGTTGTTGCCTCCATCAAAAATAACTGTAGATCTGGAATTTCCAAGATTTTCTTCTATTCTGTATCCACCAAATAGCTCTATGCAACTATGCTTTAGTTTTGCAATGTAAGTTTTCATCAACATATTTCCAGTTATTGCTAGAAGTGCAACTGGTGTTTTGCTGTTGGGTTTGTTGATTTTTTGGTTTTGTTTTGTTTTGTTTTTTAAAGTAGACGCTATTTCATCCAAGTTCTAATGGATTTCATTGACATAATTAACATGACAAGAATGAGGTTGCAAAGGCTCCTGGTCCTCTGCAAGCATCACTTGCTTGTTTATATCTTTCCCACTTTTTTTAAATTATCAAGTGACACACAAATACTTAGCTATATAAATATTGGTTGTACAGGATGCTGGGTGGTGTTTGAGTAAATGTGTATGGAAAGAAATTTTGCCGTAACAGGGGCTTTTTTGTTACGTGTTTTCACACCAGCCGTGAATCTTACTCCTGTGTCTTTAATACTCATTGCTGTGTGCACCTTCATACTCCTCCTTGAACATCATCTCTTACGGAGCAGATACATTGCAATCCTAGCGTGCAGAAAATGGGAAATTCTTTGTTTTGTTTTTTGTTTGTTTTAACATCAACCCACAAGACCTTGAGTTCCAACTCAAGATCTGAGGCTTTCAAAATGTATTAGAAATAAATCACTGATCCTTTCTTTCTGATTAAAGGTAACAGCCACAGTGAAGTGCACAACCTGTAATCAGGCTCTTAAACAACCTGCTGGCTTTTCTTGTTAGGAAGAAGAAATGCCTGGTGTGCCAACAATACTTAGAAGCTTCTTAAAATTGGTTAATTCCAGTGTTGCTTACGATAGTTCTATGGTAATAATTCATCATCCATCTTCCAGTATTTCTAAGATGCTTTTGGATACTTATACTGTCAGTTGAGCAATGTCATACTTTGTATAGTTCCACTTTGATAACGGTCTGCTTCTTGAACTTCACTGTTAAGTCTTTCAAAAAGTAAGACAAATACCAGCTCACTTAATTGTTTCAGTTCATTTTACAGTGCCCAAGCAGGAAAATGCTAGAGCTATGTGGTAGTAGGCAGGAATTGTGCTATGAGCTGCAAGATACGCTCTTGCTAAGGGCTTGTGACCCCTGGCTTTTCCTTACCCCTCAAAGAAGAATTTCAGTGGGTGCCAGGAAACAAGCTCATCTGCACCACTAAAGCATGCGGTTTAGAAGTAGCTCACTGATGATCGGTGATTAGAAATGCATATTAGTTAGTCTTCCTTTTCCAGGATGTTAAACAGCCTGTAGTGAGGCTGCACCTAACCAGTGTATGGTAGGTATGTGTGTCAACGGCACAATAATTGGTACTTGAACCAAGGTCTGACATTAATGAGAGGTGTCATTTGCAACAAAACTAACTGACACAAGTTAAACAGTATAAAACACAGTTACCTTAGGTCTGGAATAGATCTGGTATCTCAAAGTACCTGCGCACATTGTGTGCTGGTCCGTGCTTACCTTCCTTGCTAAGTAGCAATTTGTGCTCTATCAGCACCACCATTCTGCAGTCTCAGGTCTTTCACTGAACTGTGAAATACAATATAGCATTAAGTTTTTTGTCGCTAATCCTCTTTTGACATATCAGCAGGCAAATAAAAGCCCTTCAAAAAAAGTCTTAGCCTATTCTATTGATGCTAGGAAAGATTTTCCACGTGAAAAATAATTGAAGATCACCATTTCACAGATCACCCATTTGTGTCTCCGGGCAAGCAGATACTGTTCTCTGTATGGGTGTGCTGGGAGTCATTTGCATGCTCTTAGGTACCAGAAGTCTTTCTGTATGATGGATCAGAAATTTAGCAGGACGAAGTTTGATATTGAAACTGAAGAGTTAGGTAATACAAACATACTTGTCTCCCTGACAGATCTCTTCAAGCACATCACAGCCTGGAGTCCCGGGAGCTGTAAAACAAACCGAGGAGTCTGCATTGTTTCAGTTTGCTGAGGTATAATGGCTGAAATATGGTGGGGGAGGATGGGAGGAAGCAAGGAGCCAGTAAGAGTTGTAACTGAATGGTGAAACACCCTGTCTTATAAGGGATTCCCATCTGTAGATATTTATCTTCATGAGAGCATTGTGTTAAAAAAAAAATCATGGGGGGAATAACCAGTGATTGGACAAGATGTTGGCCAGTTCTACCAGCTGTAGTATACACAAAAGGCACTGGGCTTGTGAACATTACCTGGCCTTCCATACCAAAGGACCACTGCAGACATATTTTCCAAGTGGCCTTTTAATTTACATCTAGGAAAACAACAAAGGCATTCGAAAATGATGCTATGCACTGCCTATGGAAGAGGCTGCAGCAGTGCAAAATAGCAACTCGCCTAGAGGCAGGAATCCTTTGAGAAATAACCTTGCAGGTCAAAGGAGGCTTATCACAACAGCTACAAGGATATGTAACAGCATTGTTAGGAGATGACTTATAAAGCCTATAAATTGCCCCTAAGTATGTAAGATATTCTCGTTCCTCCACGTATTGAAGATTTGGAGTTCTTAAAGATTGCTTTTAAGAATTTCTTCTCACATGCTTTTATGTGCCTCTGAATTGATTTTTCACACGTATACTCTTCTTGCCCATTTGGGGGGAGTCTAGTACTGCTTGCAGAATAAGTTATGCTAAAAGTATATTCAGAGTGTGTCTGAAAAGACAGATTGGAGCTCGTGCTATCGTGGAGGAGCATAATGGGCTGAAAAGATAGCCTGTTTGTTACTCCGTGTGCTTACAGAGATTTGACTACATGCAACACGCTTCTTTCGGTTGAATGTTAAGCTAATTGTGTACTGTGTGTTTTTAGCTTGGCTAAGATGGGCCTTGATGTATTTCTTAGGAGGCCCACTTATGAAAAAACAATTTACTGATTCAGATGCCATAAAATACCTGACTACAAACACCTCTATGAAAGATACAATTGAGTTAATATCTCTAATCATGAAGATGTTTTCACATGTGCCACCTTTTTTTAAAGTTACAAGTTCATTTGGAAAGTTCTTTTGAGAAAATTAGTGGAATTGAGCAGGCTGAAGTCATGTGCTGAAGCCAATCTTTTAAACCCAGTAAAAGGTACAAGCTGGAAAACATTTCTTGTGAATTTTATTGCAAAATATTGTACAAATGAATCTGCTAACTTAGTTTCAAAAATCTTAACCATCTTACATGTTAATTAAACGGCAATTTTAGATACCTGCAGAGTTGAACAAGCTATGATTTGCCTTTGTACAGAATTTTCAAATCATCATATAAAGCCTGACTTAGCCATACTTTCAAAATTTCACAGAACCTAAAATAATTTCCTCTCCGAATTGAACAAATAACAAAATGACAAACCTGAAAATCATCATACGGATGTGACAGTGCCTTGAATTGCATACTACTATGCTGAGCCAGCTCATTTGGCACGTTGGAGTACATGTATGAATCATCAAATGTTAGGTAGAAGAGGTGCTTAGAAAGTTAATTAGAAACCGGAGAGGACAGTTTTAAAGTCAGGGTTAATCTCTTTTCCTTGTAAAAATATTAAAATTTGTGTGCAGTCTGGAGGGGGTTCTATTTTTTTGGTTGTTTTTTCTGTGTCTGGAAATAAGGCACAGGAATCTGGAAAAGCAAAGAACCAACCAACCAATCAAAAACCCCCAAAAATCCCTTGTTGGCCATGGTTATTCCTCCTGCGTTATACTGTTGTTGTGAAACCTTAATGGCAGTGACTAGCATCATGTTGTGTCTATAGCAATACAGAAATGGCATTTTTTGTAAGATTACAACCTGGTTTCATTTAGGTTGTTCCAGGAGAAAGTCTTAAGCATGCTACAGAACCTCTTTCAGCTTTCTCCCACCGCTATTAAAGCTGCTTGTGCTCTTTCAAATATAAGGGCTTTCATTTGCACAGGATGTCTTTGTCAAGTTTGGCAAAAACCCCATTCCTTGCTGTGCCACTTCTGACTGGGTCCTGTCTATATGAACGCATTTCTGCATTTAGTAAGCTAAATTATGGTAAGCAATTTGCAGTAGGCTGCTGTCAGCAATGTACAGTGCTACAAAAGAAAAGAGAGAGGGAGAGAAAATAGTTATTTAGCCGGTAGCCAAGCAGACCTGTGAAGAAATGTGAAGCGTGCTGTGGTCTGATGTGCCTGGAGACTTTTGGCAGCCATCCCAGCTCAGTTTTGGTTCTGGCTGGGTGTTCCTCATATGTTCCCTTTCTCTTCGCCGCCTTTGCGGCAGGGTGAGTAAGAGTGCTTCTTTGTGAAGACAGCAATCCCATTGAGTAGACTTGTCATTTAAAATGGACACCTTTACCCCAGGCGTACAAGTCCCCCATCACTCAGAAACAGCTCGTTATATGTAGACGTAGCATGGGATTCTTTCTTCTTTACAGCCTCGGTTAGCCTTTCATCTGTTTGTCTGTCCCAAGTGCTATAGTCTTCAATTAAAGTTGTTGAGGGTACGGCTAATGAGGCAGGCCCAGTGACTTGCCACAACAGATAATGAAAATCCCAGGAGTAGAACTTCATTGGGTCCTGCGGGTGCGCAGGCAAGCGCCGTGGGGGTCACCGAAGATAATGTGACGTCCTCGTAAGAGTTTTTTGAAATTTGGAGTGTTGTCAATTTACAGTCGTGGCTGTCATTCCGCTCTGATTTTGGAAATACTTGGCCCTAGTTTTGTCCTTCTCATTCATACCTTTAGGGAAAGCCATTATATAGGCCAGTGATTTCTGCGCAGTGGGCTGTGTTCCTTAGCATGGTGGCTGTTTGCAAGCTGTCTGCTCACATGGGCTGGTTGCTGTCATCCTCCTTGCCATGTGAGGGAAGCAGAGCAGATGGGACCCCTTGCTCTCTTGGTCTTACTGGATGTGTGTTTGGCAAACGTGAACAGATGGTGATGACTGCTTCACAGAGAAGAAACACAAGTACCTCTTAGATTTACTTAGCTAAACTCTCATCCGTTATTAAACAAAGAAAATGCTTCCTGAGATTGGAAGCAATAAAATTGCTAGTTTACCCATCTTAAAAACAAAATGAAGCCAAAACCCATAAACTCTTCACTTTCAGCTGCTTTTCTGAAGTTTTTCTTTAGGTAATCAAAAAAACAATCGCAGGCAACAAGGTGAAATTTTCTTTGCTAGTCCAGCAGTTTACTATAATTTAAGAAAAATGCATGCTTGAGAATGATTTTGTCCCTGCTGCATTCTCACATACTCACTTTGAGCAGGCTTGCGGGCAACCCTGTCTGTTTATTTCTGTGCTGAACAGGTTTGAATCAAAAACTTTTGGTCAAAATGCCTTCAACTTGGGAGTGTGAGAGCTAGTCAGTATCTTCTCTTCCAGCCTTCCCTTAGGTAAAGCTGTAGCCTTCCCAGGTAAAGCCGTTACTTAAAATAAACAAATATATTTGCTCTTTGCCTATATACTGAAATTATTAAATATCTGTTTTGAAGTGAAATGCCTAGTCTAGGAGGAGAAATGAAAAAGTGGTACCACGGCACGTGCTTCTTCTGCAAACTAGAATGTAATATAGTAGCTAAAAAGCTGACATGCATTGTAATAAAAGATAACTTGATCCTAATGATCCCCAAGTTAAACCTCTACATAAGAAGGGGCTATCTGTGGTTGTGGTACTGCAGGTTCTAATTATTCTAATTAAAGCTGGAAGATGATGTTAATACAGGGGTGTTAATGCAGGGAATGAGATCTGTAACCTCACTGGGAGCTGATTGATCAGCCATCCTCTTCTGATGTTTGGCCAGCAGCTTTGGCAGAATGAGTTCTAAGTTTGTGTCGCTTGCGGTTTGTTTTCATGACTCTGAAGAGAATCTTTTTGCTGAAGTGAAATGTTGGCTTCCTCTCTTTCTATTAGTACTAAAAGGATCTCGCTTGTATTTTGTTAAAAGCAGCCATTCCATTGTCGAAACGAAATTCTTTATTCTTTCCTCACATTATGCATCAGGAGGCAAGATATGTCTGTATGTTCTCAGGTTATACTTCAGTGTGGAGGTGTCTTTCTGAACCTTTTCTGCCATTCATACTGCACTGAAAAAAATCATTAAGAACTGAGAATTTATTATGGTAGAAAGATAAAAATTTGAGGCCCTCTTCCTACAAAGTGCAGTGTACAAGATCACTTACTCCAGTGTAGTCCTGAGCAGGTTCCCTGAACTTTCTCAAAGCAAAGCTAGGGTTTTGAATTATTTTGGTTTAGTATTAAAAATTATTATTAACATATATTCAGGTATTATTCCCCATGTTTTAAATATCTTGCAGTAAAATGGATGTTCTGGATCTGGGGGAGGGGAGGGGTGTTGTGATGAATCTCCTTAACAATTGGAAAGTAAACTCTTCAAATAATCTAGTTCAAAAGAATGACATTAAATATAAAGAGAAAGGCTAAGCTGATAATTTTTGCATCTAAAAGATCATGGTCATAAGCATGATTTTTGTGATGTGTGATGATGTGTGTAGGTGCCGCAGAAACACTGGTGGTCTTGCCCCTAATCTTAGGGCTTTTCAAGGTTTCCAGGTCAAATACCCACCAAGTAATGCCATGCCAGAAAACATCAAATATGAGAAATAATGATTAACCCTTGCGTTGGTGAACTCATAATGCTGCACTTGGAAGCAGGTCAGAAAAAATTTGGCTGGAAAAGCAATTCCCTGAAGTGCGCTGGTAGTTATTTACTCAGCGCTGGTGCTGGCACACCAACATCTATTTAGAAGGCTAGATTTGATTTCCAGACATAAGGTCTTATTTCTTTTTTCTAACTAAAGAAAGTGAAACAAGCAGTGTCTGTGAGGACAAATGGTCCTCTTCTGTATCTAACCAAATGGGAAATACTGCCTAGGCTTTCCAGAATTTTATTTCTTTGACCACCACAGTGTATGTTTTTAAGCAACAGGTATGTCTTGTTCACTTAGTCATATAAAACACACCTAAAACACACGGCATGATAGAATACTGGCTGTGGACAGTACAAACGTAGAAGAGAATCCACGAGCCTAATTTAAGGAAGAAATTGTATATTTGCTTGTATCCTGCTGACTTCTAAATGCCTGTTAAGTGTTTCTTGGAGGGGTTTGTTCACTTAGTCATATAAAACATACGGCCTGATAGAATACTGGCTGTGGACAATACAAACGTAGAAGAGAATGCCTGTTAAGTGTTTCTTGGAGGGGATTGCCTACCTGAAATAGGGCCTTCTGCCAGAAAGATCAAAAAGTAACTGATTTAACTGACTTCACAATTTTTTCATTCTTTTTCTCCCTTCCTTTCTGTCTTTCCTGTGTTCCACTGAAATATTTTCTCCTCTGTTCGTTTAAAACCTAGATCTCATCAAATACTTCCCAGTTGTCAAGTCCTGAGCCAGTAAAGCACTGTGGGAAGTCGGCACTCTTCCAGTTGGCAGAGGTAAAGTTACACCCATTAGCGTCACAACGGGAAGATGTGTGCATCTTTTCCCCTAAAAAGCATGAATTGTGTAAGATTTACTCTAGTATCAAATTTAGTATTTTGAGAAGCATAAATTAGTAAATAATTGAATAGCAAGAGAATTAGGCAGTTGCAATGGCCCCAGGGACCTGGCTTTTTTTTATACACTTGTTAATGTGCATAGTTTCTTGGAGACCACACAGAAAAAGTTACGCTTCTTTTTAGAAAAATTAGCCCTGTAACTATAATAAATGCAATGCTCAGGACAACAGCAAAGACAAGAGACAACAGCATTCTTCTTACTGAGGAGCTGGATACCAGGATTGAAAAGGTAAAGCTTTGGTTGTAATGACTGGAATGTGCATTATTGAATCAGGGACCAAGCATAAGAAGAGAAAAGTAAAGTTTGAGATCATCAGGAATCTGTATGAAAAGTTGGAAGTTGAAGCAGTGTATTAAGCTCTGAAATTGGCCTCTGTTGGCAGTAATCAAGAACACTAGTTCAGGTTTCCCAACAGTCCTGGAAATTCTCTGTGAGTCTTAAATATAACCTTGTAGACGTCTCCTCTTTGATATGGATGAATCACTCAAAAACCTTTGAGGCTTGGTGTGCAAATATTCTTCTTGATGATTGAAAGATAAAGATACGTGCTGTATTCCAGGTAAATAAGGGAGGATGCTAGCACCTTAATTGCACGTGGGTTTTTTGGGTGGGGGAGGGTTGTTGTTGTTGTTTGGTTGGGGTTTTTTCCCAAAATTAAGTCCTGTGTCAATGAGGAAAATGGTTCTCTAGATCCCATCTAGTGGCATCCAGACATATATTCTTGCTGGTGAGGTTAACCCTTGTCAGGGAAAAAAAGACAGAGATTGGAAGCACTGAAATAGAAGCATGTCATGTCTTGTTCCATAGATGGTAATGCTACTATCTGACTTTATAGGAACTTACATGAGTGGAAGAAAACCTGCTTTAGCCTACAGCCAGTCCCTGGCAGTAGCAGAGATTGTGGGTGTTTGCTATGTTGTCAGCAGTACCTGTGCAAGGGCGATTACACCTAGCTGTGATCAGTGATCCATAAGGGCATTTGATTACTGCAGCTCTGGGACAGCAGAAAGGCTGGTAATATTTATTCAGGAACACCAGAAGTTTTTGAGGTGTCCTCTTACAGGACAGCAGCAGGCTTTGAGTAGTGCTCTTCTGGAGTAAGGCTGTTACTGAGCGCAGCCTGACATTTGGAAGTCAGCGTTAAAAGTTGTGATGTGACTGTGAAGCTTGTGAAGCCCTAAGTTGGGTGAAGGACAGGTGCTTGTCCACGGGAGTGCAGAGTTTGTTCTGCAGTTGGCGGAAAAAAGTGAAGCTAAGTCTGGCAGCATGACATTTGCATGTTGGACAGGTTTCCATGATACCTCTCCCAGTGATTGCTCAAATGGATTCTTACAAGCCTAATTTAATATACAAAATGAATGTTAAAGGCTCTGATTTAAACTGAGAAAAGCGCGGCAGATGTGCTAAGCGTATCCTCCTTGTCTCTGGCTCTTCTGGGACATTGGCGCTATTAATATTTTTTTTTTTCCAGTTTTGGAGACCTCTGTAATGTTGTATTGTAATTGGATAAATAAATTGTGAAAGTTTCAGCTTAAGTTTCAGATAGCAGTTCAGGACCTGGTTTGAAGCATCCCGGATAAACTGTTCATTATCACCTCGAGGATGTCTTAGGTTTGCAAGTTCATTTGGCAGACATCTGTGCCATGCCGCTGTAACTTCAAACCGCAGATGCTGTGCACTGGAGGGGACTGAACTGCTGTCTCCATGCTACTGGCACGGCGGGGGTCTGGCGTGCGGGAGCCTGTCTGCTTCTGCACACCACACTGCTCTGCTCCTTCTTCATCTCTCTGCTGTGTTGATAAACCAAATTTGTCTTCTTCCCCCCGCCCCCCCGCCTGCTTTCCTTTTTGATACTTCACAGTATTTCACAGATGGTCATAAAACAAAATGCAGAAGTGGGTTAAATTATTTTCTAAAAAATTCTGAGAATTTAGAAGTTTCTAAAAATGACTGGAGCAGCCGCTCTGCAGTCTGAAGCCTGGGAGGCTGTTCCTGAACTGCTCTGCTGTGTCTTTTGCTGTGCCTAAAAGCATGCTTTGTCTTCAGCCGTCCCTGCGGAGGCATGAGGGTGAAGGGAGGCAGTGGTCGTGGGGGGTATCACCTCCACAAGGCAGGGAGGCCACTTCTGCTGCAGAGGGCTAACAGCACTAACAACGCTTGGCTGTAAGCAACGTTTGGAGACATGAGCTGTAATGGTCAGAGCTTGGGAGATGCTGTGAAAAGCTGCAGCTTCCAGGAGATGTAGAGATACAGCATTGTTAACCTTTTTTGGTTATTTCCTATAGGGCAATGATGGCTTGATTTCTGCAAAATCAACTTTGTAGGCCCGTGTTGGTTGAGAGCAATGAAATCTGAGTTTGGGGGGATAGGAGGAGCTAAAAGGTTATAAACACTTTAGTTCCCCAGTCCCTAGACCTCCACCTCTTTCTAAGGAAGCAAGTATAAGAAACCTGCAAGCCTGATGAGAGATTATAGAAAAAGTCCTTAAAAATAGAACATTTTCCTCTTCATACTAATGGCCAATCCTGAGACCGATACTTTTAATTTGTTTAGAAAAAGATAATTTATTTGCACCTAGCTCAAAACTGATAGAAAACACTCTGAAGTATTGAAGAGGATCACAGCCTGGTACAGGAAAAAGATTCTGGAGAATAAACAGCTACCTGCTTGCCAGACAGCTTCCTGTATTCTTGAGGAGTAGGAAAGGTTACCAAAGGTTTGAGGGCTCCTACTTCACTGTGGTTTTGTAGCATCTCTTTTATATGAGTCCTGTAGGACACCAACAGGCAGTGCCATAGCCTGACTAAAGGTTACCAAAGGCTTGAGGGCTCCACACCAACAGGCAGTGCCATAGCCTGACAGAAGTAACGTTCTTAAGCTATGCAAATGAAATGATTTTGCAATCAAATGTCCAACTAAGCCTTCAAAAATACCACCAGCTGGGTTGCATGCTGGTGTAGATTGGTGCTTAGCCACTGGAGTCTGTTTGTGTGTGAGAGAGTATGTGCTTCGGTTCTTCCTACTCTTCAAAGGGAGTCCTGACAAGAAGATACCCAAATCTGGAAGTAGCTTTTAATGTCCAGTTGTTATCCACCAGAGCAATGGTGGAGCAGGGGTTTATTTGACAGCATGCGCAGGTCTGCACTTCTTTTTCAGTATATAATCTTATGAATGAATTTTTAGAAGAGGGAGGAAATGATCCATTCAAAAGCTGTGTGGTAAACATAAAAGAATTTGGCTGTTAAAATAATGTCTTTATTTTTCTCCCCCACTGTTTTTTCTTTAGATTTCTTCAAGTACATCCCATTCAGGTCCTTCTGATTTAACAAAACAGTGTGGAACATCAGCATTGTTTCAACTGGCAGAGGTAATATTAAAATACTGGTGACTAATTACCACAGGTGCAGTGGGGTGGAGAAGTTAATGATGTTGATTGCCAAAGTCTGGAAGGCAGAACAGTGCTACAGTTCTAATTACACCGTTGCTTATAGAAGCATAAATTATCATGGCTTGGGTGCCACAAGTCAAGATTTCCCCAGACTAGCCAGCAACTTGGAAGTTTCCAAGAGTCTGTGCTGCAGCTGAGAAGAAGTACCATTCCCTGATGACAAAGGGACTTTCCAATCACCACTGAAATTGTTTCAGTTCCTTGTTTTAGGGTTTGGGGGTTTGACTGGTTTGGCCGGGGTGGGGTGCAAGGAGCTGGGAGAGAGGGCTAGATTAGTCTGTTACTCAGATTAGGGCATTGCCATTACAAATACCCATTAAAGGTCATTAGTTGTTTTCATTTATTTTTGCTTTTCGTGCCTACTGTTTTTTGAAGTGGGGAATAAACCGGTCAATAACTTCTGTAGAAACTCTGCTATGATACCCTCGGCAGATCCTCCTTCTGGGAACAGTTAAAGCCATTGGCCTCGTATTGAAATGTTGTATTTCTTCTGTTTCTAAGCTTTTTTTTTTTTTTTTCCCCAAGCTTTCCCTATCTTAAAGACTGTGAATTACAAGTTTGTTTAGAGCTCACAAAACAGAAGTCACTTTTTTGTAGCCACATCCATAGCTGTCTGTACTATTGGCTACTGCAGAAGCAGCAAAGGTATAAAGGAAAAAAACCCAAACATCAGCAAGGGCCCGGGGGGGGTGTTTGACAAAGTACAATTACTGTTGCATTCCGTGCAACTGAGTTGCGCTTTAAAGATTGATCTTTAGTGTTTGAAAATCATGGGCTGTATTTACATTGCAGTGCAGTAAACAAGTCACAAAAATACCTTGGTACCGAGATCCCACCTCGGCATAGTTGTGGAACTCTCTTCTGCATAATTTAACCTGCTTCCTGATAGACACTGGGCTTTCCAAGCTCAGGTGTTTCCAGTGCTCAGCCTAGCTTGACCTGAGCCAGATCAGTGGTTTCTGGCCTGCGCAACAAGAATTTCAGAAACAAAGTGTTCTATCATTGGTGTTATGCTCATGCATATATTGGTGTAAGAGATATTTTTAAATTGCAAGGAAAAAATGCCCTGCCAATTTGAGAAATCTAAAATTGACCTAAAGAGAACCCAGTGATCTGTAGGGTACATCTGCCCTGACCACATGGGCTGAGCTGTGGGATAGGGAAGCTCCTGATGTCTGGTTCAAAGCAAGCCTCTTCCATCTGGTTTTGCTCCCAGTGGCTGTCTGGTTGACAATTGTTTTAAAACCAAAATACAACTGGGAATTCAGCTTGGAGGCTTTGAACGGGAAAGCAAGAAGAAGAAAACAGTCTTCCCAAGGGCAACTGCTTGGTGCTGTGAAGGACTGCCCTCTGTAGCAGTGTCAATGTAGCTTACAGGTGATCCAAAACCAAGAAGATCTCCCAAGTCAGTGCTGAGGGAACGTGGCAGACTGAGGACCTTTTTACAGCTCTGTTTTTTGAATATCGCTGTTCCTCAGACAGTATGAGGGTTTTAGTTTCCATTAATGTTATCTCCAGGAGGAGATAACCATGGTAACCACTGCTGTATTGCAGTTCTTTGCAAAACAAGTCTGTGACATGAGAAGAAAGATTCGGAAGGCTTTTTTACTACCTTCCAAATTATTTGCTCATTCAAGTAAAAGAAAGTAATCTCAGTTGCTGAGATTCAATGAACTTTTTTTTTTCCCCCCTCCTTCAGGGCCATTTGGAAAATGGAGGCAAGAATTGCATATAGGGCCATTTGGGAGTTGAAGGGGGTATGGATGTGAGATGTCAAGTAACTTGTCAGTGGCAATAGTCAGAGATACTGTGTTGTTTGTTGCATTTAGGGTATTCTAAAAATCAGTCTAGCAGTGGGTTTCCAGGTTAAATAAAAGGCACTTAAAGGATCATGGAAACAGCACTGAGATCAGTTGGAGTCTTCATCTATTAGAGCGGTAGAACTTGCCAGCCTTAACCTAGTACTTAGCCATCATCACGTCACATCAGTTTCAGTAGGGCTTCAGCATGTTTTTCAGCACTGTCCTTTAGCATAGTTTGCCTTCCTGAACTAAGATGCCAGAGAGATTCCCTGTGTAATGCTCCTGTTAGTATAGGTAAGTAACGTTAATAGTTGATGTTTGTTTCACGGGACTTTTTTTAAACTTGTTTTAGATGTGCCTTGCTTCAGAAGGAGTAAAAGTGAAAGAACCTGGGAAAACAAAAGTGGAAGCACCCAAAGATGTGGGAAGGGAAGTTCCAGAGGAAATGGAACTTGAAGAACTGGAGAAAACAACAATAAAAGACTCCTGTAAAGTAAAAGTAGAACAATCGGAGATAGAGAAAATGCAAAACCGGGATGAGACAAAAGCTGAGGAATCAGAAACTGCAAAATGCAGAGATTTTACTAGTCTTGCAATAGAGAGCAGTCCTTTTGAGAGACATGATAACACAAAGGATCACATGTGCTGTTCTCCAGAGCTTTCAATGGCTGACATGAACATCCTCGGGCTAAAGCCAGAAAAGATAAAGAAGAAGAAGAAAAAGAGTAAGTTGGACCGGCACACAAACGAAAAATCCACTCCCAAGAAACCTTGTAAAAAGAGGCAGTCCTCTGAGTCGGACATTGAAAGTGTAATGTATACAATTGAAGCCGTTGCAAAGGGGGACTGGGGTGCTGAGAGACTCGGAGAAACTCCCCACAAAAAACCCCGCCCTGTCTCTAATGTGAAGGGAAGTATGTTGGATACAAAATCACCAAAGAAAAAAGTGAAATCGAAAGAGAAGAAAACATCAAAGGAGAAACCCCCGGAGACCACCAAAGAATCGAAGCCTCCCGATTTCCTTAGTATTGCAGCCAGCAAGGAAGTACCATGTGAGGCTTCTGATAACATTAAAGTGGAACCACTGACCCCAACAGAGGAGGTGGTACCCCAAAGCTTACCAGGACAGGTCAAAACTGAGGACAGTGACTGTGTTAAAAAGATAGAAACCTGTGGCTCCAGGAAATCGGAGAGATCTTGCAAAGGTGCTCTTTATAAAACTCTGGTGTCAGAGGGCATGCTCACGTCTCTGCGCGCTAATGTGGACAGAGGTGGGTGGCTTTGAGTGTTTCATTTACAGCATGAACCACAAAAGCCCGGCTGAAGTGGGACAAAAAGCAAAAATCCATGTTTAAGCTGGAGTTTGAGCAGTGTGTGATTGGAATGCTGTGTCTAGTCACCTGAGATTCTAGAGGCAGGTGGAGGGGACGGACTCCATGGTCCAGGGCAGGTCTTCTGGAATCCTGCTGTCTGTTAGTACTCACCTCACTAGCCTCTCCCTTTTTGTCTTTCATGATCTCAGATTTAGCTTTTTGACAATTGGCTTTGTTGGGTAATTTGTCTGCTTGGTGATAAATCTATGCAGGACTTGTGTTGTTTGTAACCCTGAACAATAAGCTTGTTTCTATACAAAAAACTATTGTGGTTGTGAGCATAGTTCTCAGTCGTACAAGAGGCAAGTGTGTTGTGCTTTTGCTTTGGTTGTTAGTTTTGCTGTAGGTCATGAGCAAGAACCCTTTACCTTGTGGAAGGATAAATTTAAGATAATTTCTGGAAGCCTTCAGTGACATGTCTTGAAATGTATTTTTCCAATTAGTAGATTTATATGTGTAATTAGAACAGTCAGAAAAAAAAAAGTTTGTAATTTAGGGAAGTTTAATAATGTAAATCTATTAATCTTTTTTTTCTTTCTATATACCGTGAGAGATGCTGAGTTTAGAAGTAGTATAAAAACAGGGGGGAAGGAAATAGTTGCCAATATCATCATTATCTCACTATCTACTTTAAAATAAATAAATAAATGTTTTGTAACCCCTTCAAGAAGGTCAAGCATCGTAAGTTGCAGTACTGAATGGGTACACAAGTTCCTTCTGAGCCCCCTTTGTTTTGGCATGTTTTTCTAAAGATGAGAAAAAATTTTCTGCCTTCATACCAGGAAAAAGAAGCTCAGGAAAAGGCAACTCCTCAGATCATGAAGGATGCTGGAATGAAGAAAACTGGGCTTTTTCCCAATGTGGCACAAGTGGGAACAAAAAACTGAAAAAGCCTAAGCCAAAAGAAGAGTTTGTTTTCGGGTAAGTTGCAGCTTAACGTTGTTCCGAGTTTTAGTTAGGTCAGCCTGGTAACTTAAGAGTGAGTCCTCCTCATTGCAGCTAGTGAACTGTGTCCAACACCCAAATAATCACACGTAGACAGAATTTCTGAAAATTACAAACCCCACTGGTCTAAGTCATGCTCTAGATACTTGTTTATATACCAAAGTAATTCCTTTGAGATCTTTCCTGGTTTACACTACTGTAAACAGATTTGAATAACATTATTTGCTCACTTCTAAAAAAAACATGTGATATTTACCTGCTCAAGAGGTGGTAAAGAGGGTTACTTATGTTTTCAGAGCACTTAGCAAGCGGTATTGAAAGTGCTGTGTAGGTGTCCAATCATAAACAGATTTAGACTAGAAAGAATAGATCTCTTTGCCCACTTGGAGAGCTTGCTTACAGAGGAAGAGTAAACAATGTTCTACTAGTGGCAAATAATTATGATAAATACATCATTTTTTTCTATTCTAGAGACAAGATATTTAAACTGGTCATGTACACCATGAAGAAATTAAATATATCAGAATAATTAATGATTACAAATACTTTAAAATTTAGAAACGCCACACAGAATTACTTTTCTAGTATATGCATAACAGTTTTTGTTAGAGTATTACAGATTTATTTAACTGCTAAATCTGCTTAGCCATTCATACTTACTTGCAAATTCTTGGAAGAATTCCAGTTATCTGAATTCAGAGGGTGAAAATGAATTAAAAGAAGTAGATTTTCCACATTTCATGCTTAAAATTGTAATATGCTTCTTTTTTACAGGTTTGTGGTAGCCTTTTTTATAACCTAGTCTCTGTGAAATTTAGCTGCAGCTCACTTTACTGTAAAGATGTTAAATTGATGAAGATCTCCAAGTCTTGATTGCTTGGAATAGTCAAGATAAAGTAATGGAAACTTCTTGTATTTTTAGTGCATTACATACAAGTTTTGTAAATATTTTTTAAATTTAAATTGAAAGATTGAAAACTGAATGCATGTCCTAGCCAAAAAAAAAAAAAAAAAAGTAGTTACAAATTATTTATTCAAAGTAGCTAGGAAAATTGTGTACTTAAGTAATTCATTTGACAAATCCTGTTCTACCATCATTAGCTGGCCAGATGGGGAAAATATGTATTTGCCAATACTGCTTCTTGATTCAGTCATGTCATTAATGAATCTTATTCTCAGTGAACTCTGTAAAGGCAGAATCGGTAATTTGTGGAGCATAAGTGCTGGAGAAGGTATCCATTTTCCCTATTCATTGCACTACCTGATCTTCTAGCTACTTGAAGAGCTGGTTTTACCTCCACTTGCTCCTCCTAACTCTTTCTGCTCCCTTCAGCATCACCTTTCAGCCTCATTTTGTGTGTGTGTAGGGAGGAGGGTCCTCACCTCTTCTTCTCAGTCAGTGGTTGCCCGCAGTTCCCCGATGGTCCCTCTCAGGTGTGCTTTGTCCACGTGCAGCCCACTCCTTTGCCAGCAGTGCTCTGCCTGCGTGCGTCTCCCGGCAGGACTAGGCTGTGCACGGCATGAAGACCTCACCTCAGCTACGTGTGTCTAACCAGGCTTGTGAGAGGCTCTGAGAACTTACAACAATGTGAATGATTTTTAATTTTTTTTTAAATAATTAATCGCAGATACAGTGATGGCAGCATTCTCCGTTGCCTCCATGTTGCACAAGCCATGAATTGCTAGTCAGGATGGCAGCTCGTCTGCTTTCAGGGTAGGGCCTTCCCAGTTAGAGCTGCAGCCCCTCATATGCCACAGTGGGAGAGGAGCTGGGGCAGAGGACGGAATTGCATGACAGCTGTCAGAGCAGAAAATCACCTTGCTTTGTGGTTGTCAGGGAACATGCGTATTGAAGAGAATGGTAGCAGTGCCGAGCACCACCACTGTCAGGTATCTTTGTGATTTAAAAACAAAACAAAACATGCACACACATAAAAGAACCCCAAAACAAACAACAAACAAGCCCCACCACGCACACAGTCTGCCGAGAGCCACGTCTGGATTTTAAGATAGAAGATTGCTTACTGAAAGAATTAATGATTACAGAGATAAAAGGAACTATCATTCTGTGTACCAAAGCTTTCAGAATACAATTTGAAGTGCTGCTTCAGAGAGCAGAGAGAAACATCATGTTTCTTGTGATAATTCCAAGTGTATAGTGTGTAAGGGCCATCCCTCCAACAGCCATGCCAGTTTTTGTTAAGTTCAGGTTTTCTGTAGCAAACAGAATTAAAGACGAGTAGAAAACGTCATTGTTCCCCCGTCATTGATGGTGCTATTTATAACCTGCCCAGCTGCGCACATTACCTTTGATTAAAATACAGCTCCTTCTTACGCTCCTGCCTGGCTGCAAAAATTTGTTGGAGCGGAGTGCTTATACAAGACAGTGCAGTCATTGCAGCCAGAAATGCCATGCCATACCCATCCCATTTGAGTGGTTTATTTTCATCTGGCTGTTAGGAACAATACCATGTCTGTGGATTTCTTGAGCTGTAGTTAAAGCTAATTGCAGTCATTCAGGTTGGGCTGATGTATGAGGGATGCTGAGTTTCATGAAAGCGTGAGCTAGTTGCATTTTTCATCTTGCAACAAATAAAATATGAGGGGAGGAAATATAATCCCTCAGAACAAATACAAAGCTAATTCCCACCCCAAAGCATCATCTTTTAGAATATCCACAGAAGATTGAATAGTTTGACATTTTTTCTTCTGGTTTGAATTGTTGTTTTCATTCTGGTGTAAGGAATTCTATGTAAAGTTATTTTATTGGTTTGCTTATTTATTGGTTTTATTGTCTTTATTTCATTCCTCTCACAGAACAGACAAATCTCCTGTATGAATCTGTGCAGCAGAACTAAATGACATTGGGGTTTTTTCTGATTTTAATATATGCAACTAGTGTGATCAGTTTGTACAGAGGTACAAATGCAGAAGCTGGAGTGTACATTCTCATCGCAAAGTTGGATTAATACACACTAGTTTGATGTTTACAGTGTGCGTGCACTTACCTCTTTCCCCCTCTCTCTCTGTAGATACATACATATATACACGCACGTGTTCCTAAACAATGTATTTTTTTCTCCAGAAATGGAGTTAATTTGATTGGTTTTGTTTCCCCTTTAGCTTAGCAAAGTTGGAAGAAGAATTTGAAAAGAAATTCAACAGCCTTCCTCAATACAGTCCTATTACCTTTGACAGGAAAAATTCTGCTGTTCCAAGGAAAAAGAGAAAGGTTGGAAGTGGCTCATCTGAACAACCAAAATCCAACAAAGGTAAATTACCATGTGCAGTACATTCTTAAGGAACACAATGCTATGACAAGCTCAGGAATTTGTACTTTCTTACTTTACTGTTATATGTGAAAAGTGTGAAGTCAAAGAAAACATTTTTCTAGCACTGAAGTTGGTTGGTTCTCACCTGGTTTAGTTTTCAGGCTATACTCTTGACTCCCGATTTTCATGCTGAGTAGAACTGGTTAGAGTTTGTACATTAAACATATTCCTCACAGCAAGCAAATTTATCAAATCCATGAATATTTGTGAGCTAAGTGAATTTGACAGGTTTTCCCAGGAGAAAATGGGGAAAAAATGGCAGATGATCAAAAGGTTAAGTTTTGACATTTTTCAAATTGTAGTTTTATGCTGGTTTGCATTTCACTGTAATTTTAGGCTGTATGAATTAAAACATAAGATACCAGAGATGTCTGAATGAAACATTTGCATATATTTTTCATCAAGATTTTAGCTCCTAACATAAGTTTGCAGAAAAAATGTCCTGACATAATTTAAAAAAAAAAAAGATTAGAGGACAGGAAAGCAATTCCATACCCAACTCCATTGCTGAGGCTCTTGGAGGGAGAAACTCATGACACATTTGGCTGTGTTATGTACAAACAAGCCTGTGACACAGAGGTGGTAGAGAAGTGAGAATATGGTAGGGAAAACTACTTTTAGGCTGTGGCAGAAATACGGATGCATACGTACAGTACAGAAGCATCACAAAATGAAGGAATGATGTACCAGTAATCCTCCAAGATAAAAGGATGCTCAAAAGAATCCTCATTATGCACAGTTGATGTGAAGCTGGTTTCCTTTTCTGCTACTGTGGTGGTTCCACTGACTGACAGGTTCTCAGATCTAATATGGCTATTTTAGTCAGGTGACCCTGGATTAGATCTATGCCTTTTGAATGCTTCACAAATAATCACATTACAGTATGCAGGATTGAGCAGCTGTCCTTTTCTAGTGCATGCCAATTTTGGTATTGATTTTTGTATTTATATAATTAGATGTGGAACAGTCATTTTTGCAAAATTAGACTTTTGCTAATACCACGTGAGTTCTGATTTCAAATGCCTTTCATTTTTTTATGGTACGTATTTGATAGAACTTCTTCAATGAGCATGAATTAATTGCTTTACAGTATGATAACACACTGGTTAATTAGGCAACATCTGTTGGGAATAAGATCTCCTCATGTACTGTGATGTGGCGGTTAAAGTTGTAATAGCAGCTCCTTGGATTTCTCTCTACAGTATTTACCTGTTCAAGTGTCTACGTCTAAAAAATTTGCAGGCTCTACATTGTTTGGGAATGGCACGCTAGAATACTACCTCAAGTCAGGTAGCCCAGAACAGCATTCTGCTTTTGACTAGATTCATACGCGAGAGCTTGATTTTTATCCTTGTTTGCATCCCTTAAAAAGCTTTGGAATATATTCGGCCATGTCTCAAGGCAAGGTCAGAAACATAACTGCAGGCAGGTTACAAGCCTGATATAAGCAGTTTTGGCACAGGCCTGCAGAGGAGGCCATGGAGCATTTGCCTGTAGCTGACAATAAGGGCTCTTTAAACTAAGCCAGCTGACTTTGCACTGAAGCAGATGGTAAACAGTCACATGAACTTTTCCACCAACTGAGCTGTGGAGTTGCAACAAGCAGCCCCAGGGCAGGAATATCTGATCGTGACACTGCTGTTTCTGTAGTGAACATCTAACCGCAGCCCTGAACTAAATCCAGATGGAGCTAGTGATATCTGCTCCTAATTTCAACGAATGTTGAATTCACTCAAGTTAGGTGGGCAAGCTGTCAGCTTGTGTCAGTCATTCCAGCTCCCTGGAGAGTGAAGTTTAGCTCTCAGGAGGTAGCTGAAAAACTTTCTGACAGACCTTTTTTCACTTGGAAAGGAAAGATTGCTAAAAAGTAAATATTCCATGGCAATAGGTCGATTTTCATTTGTTTTATTTTGTTAGGATACTTAAAATTAGGATCCCAGTTGTTGTGGATTTGAAACAACCTGGGCCAAACTGCACACAGGCAAGCTTTCTAGCTTAGTGGGGAGGCTGTTCCAGCTGAGCCAAAGCTTCATTAAGCTGAAGCCTCCATTTAATTTGTGGTGTACTGACAGGCCGTTCAGCTTCGCCATGCTGTTGGCTTGCCTGTGAACTGTGACGAGTCCAAAGACGGTTAGAGAATACAGACCTCCAAAGGCGTTAAGCACGCAGGTCTGCGTACTAGGCTCCTGCAAGTATTGCAGGATACGAAAATGGCATATTGTGCAAAATGATAGAGCTTGGTTTGGAATGGTTCTGGGTTTTTTGAATTCTCATGGGTTTTTTTAAAGCATCAGAATTAAACTAAAGTAACCTATTACTCTTGCACTGTGATGAGCATGAACGGTGAAGGGTCAGTGTAGTCTTATGGGTGTGGCTGTGGTGGGATGTAGAAGATCTTAACTTTGCTCTGCAGTACTCTGCATTACCGTGTGGGGTGGAGTTGTTTCTGCTGCTTTGCTCTGTCTGCGAGGTAATTAGAAGACATGTCTGGCACAAATGACACCTACTAGTGGTTGGGGCCTCTGGATGTTTCCAAACAACAGATAATAATCTCTAGAGGTAGGTTTAGTAAACACTCTTTAAAATAATTCCCTACTTTTTCTGAGTGAGCATGTGCAGGATCATAAATTTCCCAGGCATTCTCAGTTCTCAGATAAGTGCTTAATTTTTGCAGTCTGCATAACAATGCCTACTAAATTACATTTAAAATTCAGAAAATAGGTTGGAGTGCTGTACACTAAAACTTCCCCAGGATGTTAGGTGAATAAAGATGAAGAAATGTTGTTGTTTGTTGGTTTTGGGGTAGTTCCCTCTCCCATAACTAGGGCTGTATGCCTTAATATGTTTTGTTTTGGAGTAAATGGTGCCAGATTGATTTTTCTGTCAAATGTCATTAACCTATACCTACAAGAGGCCTGATCTAACACGAGCAGCCAGGACTGTCAGGTTATTTTCCTGCTCCTAAGCGGAAAATGAGTGGGTCAGTGCACACTGACTCATGTCGTTGTGCTTGTCATGTCCAGTCCTCAATTCAGCCAGTTCTCTTCATATAAAAAAACACCTGAAGGGCTCTGTAATATGAAAGCTGTTTCAAATCCACGTGTATAAGGGAAAATTTGAACTTTCTTAAATGAGAGGCAATTTTTTCCCCAGAGCTTTCCAAATTGTCCGAATTCTGCTCCCACTGAAATTAATGGGGGTCTTTCGTCATTGGGAGGAGGACCGAACAAGCCATAATGCTTTGGCAAATTCTACCTCAAGCGTTTTGAACTGGGAGTGTGCATATGCAATAATAATGTCACAAAATGGCTGAAAAATACAGCTATACAGAATCTGCGCAGATGGCCCACTCCAACATTTGCTGGAGCTGTGACTGATTTCTTTTTTTTCTTCTTTCCAATGGCATATGTGCCAAAACATCCCACCACACAGAAGTCAGCAGTCTGCAGTGAGTCACTAATCCGCTTGTATGCAAAAATGAGCAACAGGCATAGTCATTATTTCTGCCTTGTGCTGTGAAGAAATGCTCACTTATACATTAAGCACGTCAGTAAAGCTTTCCTTTTGGGAAGGCAAGGAGAGGCATGCACAGTGTGCTTTTATTTGAGAAAGGGATTGTCCACAATTGTTTTGTCTGTGGCCTCTAGGACCAGAAATAAAACATCAGCTTAAAGTGGATGCTTCTTTGTGGCATTCCTCTCTATCTCAGCTTAGGTTTTTCTTTTGGTTCAGTTCAAAGTGTTCAGATGCCTGGAGATTGCATGCCGTAATGTTCCAAAGATCATGACTTCAGAATACAGCATCTTCTTCCTGAGAGATGCAGAAATGCACAGACAAATCTGTTTGTCCTGGTTTTCTTACAATCATGTTCTCTATTTGATCGGGCCCCTTAAAGTAGGAACCTTTGTGTGAGCAGAGGGTGTGTATGCCCAGAAATGTGGAGGAAATGCAGTTACGGTTCGTTCTGTATGGTGGGTTCATTTTCTTGCCTGCTGCTTCTCTGAGCAGCTGCTGTTGGCTGTTGCAAGTATTCCCAGGAGGAAATCCTACCGCCCCCAGTGAGCACAATGGACAAGACGGGGATTAGCAGGTGGTTAAATCCTGCGGCAACTGCTGAAGTGCTAGGAAAAAGAAGAGTCATGTAGAGTATTTCCGATAGATGAGCGGGATAAAAGGACTTTACGCTTGCAGGTGGCTGTATAACAATAGCAAGTACACCAACGTTAAAAGGATTTTTTTCAGCTTTCTATAGGAAATCACATCCAGAGTCCACTGCCTAACAGCAAGCCTTTTAGGTTAGTTAGTTTTTTCAGTCAGGGATTTTCTCTGGACTGAATGTTGACAAGTGGCATTTGTTCGAAGTCTTGGAGTACTTGCCTGCTGTCCCCATGAAACAGGTGTAGCCCAGCCAGCCATCCTGTAAACTCCTGCATGGGTGAGTGTGCCTAAACTATGCCCCTGGGGCACCTGCTAGTGAGAGCCTGAGAAGGGATATTAACTCTATCCCAGCCAAAACCAGCATATGATCTTAGAAATGCCCTCTTGTTCAGCCTTACCTACCCGCAGACATCCTCTCCAGTCCAGGTTATATTTTGCCTTCTCCATACTGGTTTAGTTCAGTTAATTTCTGTTAAAAGAAAAGCTCTGGTTTTCATACCTGAATATGCTGTGCCAAGATCCTGTATTTGGCAGTTCATTGGCTTAGGCCTTAATCTAAAAGCAGGATGGGATGTGGCCATTTTTGAAGAATCACCAGACGGTCCATTCAGTAATTACCAGACAATTTGTATGTGGAAGTGTGAGAGTGATTGTAATTTAGCTTTTCACAGAGGACAGTGAGTGTATCCTCTAGGTCACTCAAAATAGTTCTGGCAGGGAGTGTGGATGAAGTTTCTCACAGAGTCAGAAGTTACATTCTTGGGTCCGAGTATGACATGTTGACCTATTTCGATATTAGCCCATCTTCTCTTTCACCGCATTCATGGCCAGAGAGTATTCAAGTGTCAATGAGCACTGTCTCGCAGAAATAACAGCTAAAAGGGTAGGGAATTGGAAGTTTCTGTATGAAAAGGCAGCTTCTCTTTTGATCCCACTGAAGTCAATGTCCTTGGATTTTCTGTTTGGGAATAAAATTTTAGATGCAAGTACCGTGTGCCTTGGAGTAACCGACATGTCGCAGGTACAACCTTATGACAAAGGTGCCTTGGATGGTAGAAAAGAGATGAAAGACATGGGTTTCCTTCTTCATGCGATGCTTGTTATCTTTTTGTGAGTTTTTCATCTCAGTTATTCTGCTTAGAGTTGCTGGCGCTGGCTGACAGCCTGTGATGTTGATTGAAATGATCCATAGGGTGCAGCTTGAGCTGCAGAAATAGAGACTTCTGTGATACTATGTAATGTGTTGCTTATTCGAAACACCTGCAGAAAATCACTAATTTGCTGATTTAAAAAGAAGAATAATAAAAATGTCATAAGAATCATCTAGTTATGTACTACCTCTACCTCTGCCTTCTTGTGTAACTGTTATGGGAAGACTTGTCTCTGTTGATGTGGATGAAGTATTTGACCTTAGGCTCAGTTTTTTCACATAGGCTTTCCCTCAACCTGCCTGAGCTTTTTCATTCCTTGTTTTGCATTTCTATTGCAGTGACACTAGACCGCTTATCCAACTCTGTGATACTCAGAAAGCTATTGTAAAATTTGCAGGACGAAACTCGAATCAGTTGGAATGAATATGGCCTCTTCTATTGACCTTTCTGGTAGTTTCTATACAAGTTCTAGTGAAGCTATTCACATTTAAGCTGATGTTGCCTAAGATGGTGTCTCGCTTGGGCTTTATTTGGTTTTTTGTTTGACATTATTAATCTTTTCCAACGTTTTGATTTCTTCAGTAGTAAAAATCAAGCAGCAGTGAGACACAAAGCTGACATACAAAATCCTGGATTTTGATGTCTGTTTCTGACTGGATTTTAGCTTTCAGTAATTTTCAATATTATTCAAACAGTCTAGTGTCTATGAATGGTTTTCACCTCATAAGACTAGATACTAGATCCTTCTTCCATGTGCTACACAGTTTTCTCCTCCTCTCCCTGCATAGGGTCAGTGATGGCAAATTGCAGAAGCATGATGTAGACTTACCTTGATCGCGTGTTACTACATGGTTGCAGTTGGGTCTCAGTGGCCAATGTGTGTGTCTGGATCCTTTTAAGGATGAGGAGGAGTGGAGGAGGCTAGTATTTGTGGTGGGCAGAATCCTGTTCCAAGTCAGTTGCAGATGGGAAGGACACCCTCTTGTTAAGCTGTAAACTGTCTTGTCATCTGCAGTGCATCTCATTTCTGTTTGGGCTAGTCTGTTCTGAGCTCGCCTGAAGGCTTGCTTGCCTGCCGTACCTTTGGAAATAAGATTTTAAAGTTCAGTTTCTGAAAAGTAACCCCATAAAAATGGCTTTGCAGTGTAGAGACTAGGCATCTGTTATATCTTTGGTCTGTTATGTCTATATTGCTATGGTATCACTGTTTAGTCCATTAGTGAGCCAAAGGGTAGCTTCTTGATGACCTCTGCTAGTGGCATAATGTGGTCTGATGTCACATAAGGTGCCTTCTGACTACTACTAGTAAACACTCTGCTATCAAAGTGGGAATGATACCATGAGCTGGGCATAACCTTACCTTCCGCTCATGGGGGCTTCTACTTCTACACTTAGTATAAACTCATTTCTGGTCACCAAAAAGGCAAAGGTAACTCTTGCATCCTGTGGTGGGTTGGCCATGGCTGGTAGGTAAGTCCCCACCCTGTTGTTTGCTCACTCTCTGCCAGTGGAATGGGGGAGAGAATTGGAAGGGCAAAAGCAAGGAAAAAACCTCATGGGTCAAGATAAAGACAGTTTCATAAGTGAAAGGGATGGGACGTGCAGAAACAAGTGATGCAAAGTCCAGCACTCACCACCAAACAAACTGATGCCCAGCCAGTCCCTGAGCAATGACTACTTTGGAAAAAACTCTCCCCCACTTTTATTGCTGAGCATGATGTTATAATGTATGAAATACTTCTTGGTCAGTGTGGGTCAGCTGTCCCAACTATATCCCCTCCCAACCTCTTGCGCGCTTTCAGCCTACTCGCTGGGGTGGCAGAGTGAGAAAGAGAGATCTTGATGCTCTGTAAACACTATTCAGCAGTAACTAAAACATTGGAGTGTTACCAACACTGTTTTGGTCACTGGTCTGCAGCACCATCCAGGCTGTTATGAGGAAAGTTTACTCCATTCCAGCTGAACTCCAGACACATCCAAAAGAGAGCGTATCTTTAAAAAAGCAAACAAAACCCCTTGATTAAGGGGGTAAGACTAAGCTTTCCTGAGGTCATCATTCTCCGAAATGCCCTGTATGCACTTCAGAATTGGGAGCTGATGGGTTGAAGTACAGCCTGCTGAAAGCCTCCAGAGTCCATTCTGGTAGAAGATCAGGTTTTGTGCTTCCCCATGAAATGGCATCCTGTATTAGTGGAAGGGGAGGTTGTATAGTACATACTGTGACTGTTGTACTCTTTTTAAAACTGCTAATTAAAAGTATGTATTATTAATGTTGTCTGTAGGTTCATTCCTGTCTCAGAAAAAGAACTTATTCTACAAAATTGTCAGCAAATGTAAGCACAGAAAGGAGAAGCTTAATGTTCCGGACACAGGTACTGGTGCATCACTTAGTTAAGGTTTTGGGCTGCCTTCTCTCTCAATTCAGTCGCAGAGAAATGCTTCTAGATGGAGGCTACTCAGCTCTCTAGTCTTTGATTGCTTTGGTCCCTCATTTCCCCATCTGCTTTGATTCCATTAGCTCCTGGCTCCAGTTGATCATATTACCTTATTCCAGTATGATGCTGTTGTGTTTTTAATTGGCATCTCCCTTAATTACAGTTTCCCTGCTCCAGACACCATGCAGCAGAGCTGACAAAGCAAGGGCAATTCTGCAGTAGGCCCTGAACTCTTTATCTTCCACAGCTCAGAGCTTTTTTGTTCTTTGGTTGCTCTTACCTCCGTCCCTTCTGTATCAGAGACCATGCTGTTTATCTCTTTGCCAGAGCATTTATCCATGTCCCTATCTCCTCTCCCTGTGGTTTCCCGCTGTCTAGAACTGCAGACTGCAGCTAGTCAGGATGCAAGAGCTTGTTTCTGCACCAGATCTCAGAAATACTAACCTAAACCAACCCTTCCTCTGTAGAAATTCTAACCAGCTTTCTGTTTGCCTCAGATTGAAAATAACCTTGACAGTGTTTTAAGTTAGGTCCTGGGCTTACTCTGCCCGCTATCCTGCTGGAAGTTCTCCAAAGTCTTTTTCTTATTACAGTACTGTGGTCCTGCACACCTACATACTCACAACTCCGAGGGGCATTTTCAAGTGTACAGGATGATAGCTTAGCCTGATTCCCTGGGCTGTTTTGTTTGGGTTTTTTTTTCCTGTTGTAGTCATGTTGCCCACACTATCCAAATCATGCCCAGGTTGTTCCTTAGCCCTTCCACAGTGAAGTTCTCTCCCACATTGTCCCTGTGGTGTGGAAGAGCCTCTCTGGTTCTGCTTACTTGGGTAGCTGCATGAATTTCTTCCATTTTTTTTCCCCATCCATATCCGTCTCTAAAATAATAAAATGACTACGCCCATCTCCAGTTCCCCCAGCTACCTTTATGCTTAATGTCTTTCCCTCAGGCTTAGCCGTGTCATTTCCTCACTTTCCCTGATGCTGTGTTTTCTGTCCTTTGAGGTGCACATGCACTATTTTCCCACAGAGGCTCTGCCAGCTCTGCTGCATTCCACAGTGCAAATATTTTGAAATTATTTGCTCTGTTTTGTTGTATTTGTACAACAAACATGTTGTAGGAGTTGCTTATGAGAAGTAACTATCTTGCTTCCATGACAGTATGAAAAAAGCATCGTGCATTAACCTAGCTTTTATTGGGTGCCATTCAGATTTTTGTTGCTGAATTATTAATAGACCATGTAGAAAAATTAGTAAGAAAAATGTGTTTTAATTCTCCTGTGGGAAAAGAACCAGAAAGTGTTTAATATATGATAGAATAAAAATTATAAACATGTTAAAAACTGCAGATATAAAATGTGGCTAAACAAAATGTCAAAATCTCCATTTGATTAAAAGAAACGAGGCTGTTTTGATATAAAGTTAAGTGTGCACTATGATCAAAGATTCAAGCCTGACAAGTGTTGAGTACCCTGGCCGTGTTCCAGCACAACACAGAGGCATGTCCTTGGAAGTTAAGCATGTGAATAATGTCATCGTGTCTAAACACTAAAGATGTGTTTGTGCATTTGCTGGAGCAGGGCCAGTTTGCTAAGTTCCTCCCAAGACTGAAGCAAAGACACAGGGAACTTACCAGTCTTATACAGCCCACGTAGAAATCATCAAAGCAGAGACAGTGGATATATATATCGGTTGGGAACTGCATTTTCTCTGATTTAAAAGGGGGAAAAAATATGGGGTGTTGCCTACTCTTAAGTGTACCATGTAGTGACACAGAAAGCAAAGCGTTAATCAGCAAAGTGCAGCATGGGTATGGCCTTGGCAGGCGGCATACAGCCTCGCCATCATGTGCTGCCTACGTAACTTCATCCTTGCGTAAGTTCCTAGGCAGCAGGGCCCTAAACTCTTTGACTCCACTGTCACATATTCTGCAGCATTCAACCTGGGAATCCCAGCATCTTCATCTCAGTTCAAATATACAAGGATTTACTGAATCAAACATCAAATGAAAATGTCAACTCGTTTTGGTGGTTAGTCTATAGTTGTGGTGAGTCACAAGTGTATAATGTGTGGGTTTGGTTTTTATGGAGTTAATTTTGCTGGAGAAAGGAGCTTGAATATTCTTACAGCTGGAGAGGAGACACTTGCAAGGGTTGCCGTCAGCAGAGATCATGCTAGATTCATGTTTTGTTGTCTTGTGTGTGCCTGTGCGCATCTGTGTTTTGAATGAAGAAAAGTGCAGTAAAGGCAAATTTGGACGTGATTGGGTTATATTGTCTGGGTCTGTCTCTGGTTTGAATATCTGAGTGAATTTTGACTCCATGTGACCACATCATACACAGCATCACCAGTGCAAATCACCATATTACAAGTTTGCAGGTGTTTATAGAGATAGATACAGCCCAGTAAAATACCAGCAGACGTGCCACAAGCCCTGCTCCTCCTAGCAGAGAGCACACAGTAATGCAGCTGGCTGGTTTAAGAGATATGTCACTTCCTTAGGAGGGCTGACAGTAGCACAGCTGGACCCATCCTTCTTTGGGGAGGTTGAACACCACTCAGCTGAGATATTTATTTTCTGCCACACTGTCAAGGCTTTGTGGTGGGAAGCAATACTTTAAATAACAAGGGGTAAGTCACAGCAGTTGACTCCTTGCAGGTACATTTAGTGAGCTGTGCTGATGGCTCTTGCACGGTTTGTGTAACAACCAGATGTAACGCTGACCTTTGCACCAGAAGGGGAGAAGAGGAGATGAAGACATACACCAGTCTGAACACCAGCTGATGTGTGAAGGAGCCCCATCTCCTGTGGCTGGTAGAGCTAACTGCCTGCTACTGATCCTCCATCATCCCTCCCACACGCACATCAGTCTGTAAAGCTTTAGCACATATGTTTGAGAAAGAACAGGAAGTGCAGAAAATTAGCAGAATGACTTTTTTTTTTTTTTTTTTTTAACTTTCTGCTGAGAAAGCCCTGTTGGGGGAGCCCTGCAGCCCAGAGGGAGCCAGCAGCTCTGTGCCACTGTGCCTTTGGCATCCATCCAGCCTGGAGGAGGGCTGCTGGGTCAGCACAGGCTCATGCAGCAGAGCTTCCCATTCAGGCAGCTGCTCCATACACCTGGTTTGACCATCTGCTGCTTTGTCAGCTGGTGTCCCTCTGCTTGTTTGTCTCCAGCCCTTGTTGCAGCTTCATGTGCCACCAGACCCCGCGAGGAGTATTGCAGCAGCATCCCGTTGTCAGAAGAGCTAGAATTTCCACCAGGGTATAGGTCAGAGTTGTGCTCGGTGTCAATTCCTCGATGAAGCGGTTCCCCAGGCACTGGTGACTTGAAGCTTTGCTCTGCCTTGCTAGGCTTTCCCTTTTTAACTTCATAAAGACCATTGAAGCATTACAGCCCATCTTTCCTTCTTGGTGCCACTGTGCTTAGACCCACAGAGCATTCATTCTCCACCTAATGGGGTTAAACTTGCACAGCCCTCTCTCAACAGATAGGCGTTGCTGAAGAAATTCTTTTAAATCTGTCTGTGTCTTGCTGGGGTTCAATCTGAAAAGCTTGTTCTCGTCTGTGGTTTGCTGAGTCAGTCCCATTGACTTCAGTTTTCTTGTTCACAAAGTTGGGGGGAAATAAGACTACATGTACTCTGCATGCCTGCAGAATAGGATAAACTGCCCATGCTAACTTTTAACAAATCTAGCTCAGGAAACCATCTGGCATAGAGCTCGAGATGTTTGTCTCTCAAAGTCATTTTTCTCGCTGTGGTGTAAGCATGCCAAAAGGCCCACATCTTCATATCATGTGCTCGGCTCTGCTTGCAAAAATAGCCCTGTAGTTGTGCATGTGCTACTGTCATACGGAAAGCTAACCATGTAAATATCTGTTGGCAGGACTGCACAGTAGCTGCAGAACCTCATTTCATTTCTGGACCGCATTCTCCTGAAAATGAGCTGAGCTCTACATGGGACAGCTCTTGAACACAGGACTGTGTAGAAACAGAAGGAATGTGAAATGGATCAAAGAAATTATTAAATAAAAATACAGGGAAATAAACTTGTTTAGCCCTGTCCTTTCTGCACAGCAATACCAAGTCCTTGTTTGGAGCATCCATATGGATACACCTTTGTCAGTTGAAGCAATGGGGTGCTGTTCCTCTTGAAGGAGGTGCAGGAGAACCCCTATTAGCACCTAACTTAGCTATGCGGTTGTTGAAGCATGGACTCCTTTATCCTATGGAATTCAGTGCAAAGGGTCTTGTGAGTGAAACCTTTGTGTGGTTTCCTTCAGGTTGGGTTTTATTTCTGCTTGAATAATAATCTGTAAAGAATTCAATGAAATGATTTCTTATCCCAGTGTCCACTAAGACTGCTAGAGAAGAAAAAAGAAACTCTTCCCTTCAACACCCACCCTCCACCCATGCACACACATAAAAATACTTACTCATTGTTCACCTTTAATCCTTCCTTCTTCAAAACTGTAGGGCAGCAATGTTATGATGAAGTGATAGAGAGCTTACTTTAGAGCTTGAGGAAGAAAAAAAGTAGAGGACTCTCAAGTCTCATTTCAAGGATTAAAAAACCTCAAAACATGGAGAGGGAATATACTGCATCCGGAGTTTGTCAGCCACCTTCTGCTATTTCTTAGTCAAACACGCCAACATCATATAATCCTTCTTATGTATTTAATAACTATTGACTCTTTTTATTTTACCATTCAAGGTTTTTTTCTTATCTTTAATTTCTTGAGCTTTTTGACACATTCAATATGAGAAAGAAAACTAATGTAAAAGGGAACTCTTGACTGTATTGGCCAATCATGTTAATTTCTAGTGACATGACATGGCTTGTAATATACAACACATCTAATTAAAAATATATCAAATCAGGATTCTTTCTATGGTATATTATTTATTGTGTGAAATCATGTCTTAATATTTTTATTAAATGGAAAAAAAACACCTTAGTTGTATTGCTAAGGTTAAAGCCATTAAAAACTCGATCAAACTAGGATTAAACAGCACTGTCAACATAGTAGCTAATTAGAGCAAATCCCCAAATCAGAATTAACAAATAGTGTTGGACTACAACCACACCCTTACATTAATACATAATCAACGCTTATGAATTCCCAAATAAGAAATCTAGAGAGAAAGCTGCCCATTTAATTATACATTCCAATTAAGATTTTGGTCTCCGTCAGTGCAGTAAGCTTATCTGAACATCTCACTATTAGCCCAGTTAAGTTACTTGAAAGTCACATTTGCAGTCTTTGGGGCTTCTACTTGATTGGACTATTACAGGGCAGATCTTTTCTTGTGATTTCTCTTGCTCTCTTTACAAGAAATAAGTTTTACAGCGTAACTCTGCTCTGGAAAGGTTAGCAGCTATAGCTAAACACTGAGAAAAGCTATTTGAAGCTGTAGGCTTATTTTCAGAATAAAGAGCATGCACAGGTTCAAAAATGTTTTACAGGAGGAGATATGATAAGCTGAATTAAGACCATAAACGAATTAAGGTTTGGAACACTTCCAAATGTTTTTACAAATATGTACTATATCTGATTGTATTCCTATGCCATAAAATACGAAAAGTTCCCTTCCCACTTAAAAGAGCAAACGGCAACAGCTAACAAGATAAAATGTGTTACAACTGTTCTCTTCACCCAGTCCACATCCTCACACAGTTAACAGTTAAAGAAGCTAGCAAAAGATAGAGGTTATATTTAGCCATATCTTTGAATAGGAAGCTCATTAAATCTAGAAAACAAACAATAAACAAAGGGTAAATACACACTAAAAAGAAAAAGGGCAAAGTCTGTGCAGACTGCTTGGCTGTTGTGCAGAGTTTGTGGGGTTGGATGCTCCTGCGAGAGACAGCCAGTTTCAGCGTAGGAGGTTGGTCTTGTTCATTGCTGAGCCCTTCTGAAAGAGCAGTTGTTTGCATGCTAGCTTGAGTTTGTGCATATAATTTTTGCTGGTCCAACCACTCAGCAAGTGAACAAATGCATCTTAAACATATCTTTAAAACAGGAAGAATGATTGAAAGAAATTGTGGGGAAGAGAAAGCTAACTGTAGACACAGTAACGGCTGTGAATTATATAAAGGACTGTTGCAAAGAGATGTGGTATAACCTGACAGGTAGTAAAGAAAATAACGAGTTGAAAATGCAGCAGGGGAGATGAGGTGCAGGCATTAGGAAAAAATACGTAATCATTTAGGGTGGCAGTGCACTGGGGAAAAATACCCCAAGGAACAGGTACCATGAGTTCTCCCAGTTTCAAAGCAAGTAAGACAAGCATCTGTAAGAAATGGCTTGGGCATTCCCTTTGCTACCTGTCGTCTCTTTCTAACCCTAGCTTACGGTGTTTACAGGTGGGGTAGACCTCATAATACTTCTATCACAGGAGGAAGAAAGAAGTCAGAGATTAAATTTATGGATTAGTGACACCCTATGGTATCAGCAGTATAGCTAATTGAATCAATGGAAATTACAAACAATTGATGACTACGCACTGATCTGAGACTTAGGAAGCTTAAATACATTTTGTGATAGCTGCCTAGCAAGTTTCTTCGTGAACAAGATTAAAGTGACTTTAGTCAAGTGAAAATTTGTGACCATGTTTCAGTTCAGGGCAGAAGGCTACTGTGAAATGCCAACACTGGTACTGTTGAGAAAGATTCAAACTGTTCCTTTCTCACTCTCTGACTTAATAATAATGTAGGCATTATTTCCATCACAGTATTTTATCCTGTGCTTGCTTTCTTTTTTTAGCATTCTTGTCTTCAACTATGATCCAGCTCTGCTTTTGTATTTGCTGCCTTTTGGGTGTTTTAAGGTTTGTTGTTTTGTAAAAGGCAGTATTTCCCTCTGATTAGAGGAGATGACGTAGAGTGACTATAGAGGGAAGGCTGAGGGTTAGTCAGGAATTCCTGAATTCTGCTTGTGAGTCCATCTGTGAGCTAAGATAAGCTTACATGAGGACCATTATTGTTCCTTTAAATACATTTTGTCACTAAGCTACTTGCTGGCATCTTCTGCTGCAGAGTGTTTTATACAGACTGTTTGATACGCTGCTCCCACTGAAGTGCTACTGCCCATCTCGCAGTTTTCTTTGCAAATACTAGAAACTTGAACCTTCCAGGATATCTTTAAGAGCTGATTCTACTATTTCCCTGCAAACATCGGCAGCATTTGGATCATGTCTCGCCATGGGTTATGCTCTTAACACCTGTAAGGGAAGGCTTTATGCAGATAGATGCAAAACGGTAAATGAGCACAGCTAGTAGCTGAATTATTCTACATGTAAAACTCTATTTTTGTCATCTTACAGCCATACTCTCAGAAGACAGAAATTCCAGTGAGTCTGCCTGGAAGAATAAATTTTCTATATCTGCCCTAAACACTCCAGAGCCAGCAATGATGCATGAGCCTTTAGTTGGCAGCCAGAAAAGGAAAGCAAGGAAAACTAAGATCACACACCTTGTCCGAACAGCAGATGGTCGAGTGTCACCAGCAGGAGGGACACTGGGTAAGGAAATTGGAGTTTAACTTGTGTTAAAACTGAATGGTTGGAGAAGGTTGGGGAGTACAAGCAACCTATCGGGGAAGTATTTTTCAATTAGCTTGTTTTCATACCTGCTTAGAAAGGTCATTCTTTAAAACATAGGTATCAATCAACTGGGAAATCAGTGGGTCCATAATGGCCAACTTCTTTTGCTTGAATGCCCAAATCTGTCTTCTCTCCCTCAGTATTTCTCTTTTAAGAACTGAGAGCTGATATAGAGGAAAACGGTTACCATTAATCACAGAATCACAGAATTTTCAGAGTTGGAAGGGACCTCTAGAGATCATCTAGTCCAACTCCCCTGCTAAAGCAGGATTGCCTAGAGCACATTACTCAGGACTGCATCCAGGCGGGTTTTGAAAATCTCCAGAGAAGGGGACTCCACAACCTCCCTGGGCAGCCTGTGCCAGTGCTCTGTCACCCTAACTGTAAAGAAGTTTTTTTGTGTGTTGGAACGCAACTTCCTGCGTTCCAACTTGCACCCATTGCCCCTCGTCCTGTCACTGGGAACCACCGAGAAGAGTGTGGCTCCATCCTCCTTCAACCCACCCTTTAGATATTTGTAAGTAGTAATAAGGTCTCCCCTCAGCCTTCTTTTCTCCAGGCTAAAAAAGAGTCCCAGCTCTCTCAGCCTTTCTTCATAAGGAAGATGCTCCAATCCCTCAATCATTTTGATTACCCTTCGCTGGACTCTCTCCAGCAGTTCCCTGTCCCTCTTGAACTGGGGAGCCCAAAACTGGACACAGTATTCCAGTTGTGGCCTCACCAGTGCCGAGTAGAGGGGGAGAATGACCTCCCTCGACCTACTAGACACACTCTTCCCTATGCAGCCCAGGATTCCATTGGCCTTTTTGGCAGCAAGGGCACACTGCTGGCTCATTGACAATTTACTATCTACCAGGACCCCCAAAGCCTTCTCCTCAGAGCTATTTCCCAGCAGGTCCACCCCTAACCTATACTGGTGCCTAGCATTCTTCCTCCCCAGGTGCAGGACCCTGC